AAATAAAAGTATTATGTGTCTACCTACAACTAAAAAATAAATGTTAAAAAAAATACATGTTTAGACATGGAGAAAAGGTCAAAACTGAATATTTAGAAATTCAGTGGAAAAAATTAATCTAACTCATTCCTAGTTCTAGTGGGATTGGGATGATTTATCATGTATACATATTCTTTGATATTCATAATTATTTATAATATGTGTTTTTTAATTGGAGTGAAAAATATAATTGTGGTATGACATAAAACATTGGAGAACAGTGTTTAAGTTGAATTTTTTTTTTTTTTGATACCAGATATTGAACCCAATGGTGTTTTACTATTTGGCTAAGTCCCTAGCCCTTGTTTTATTTTGAGACAGGTTCTCAGTAAGTTGCTGAGACTGGTCTTTAATTTGAATTCTTCTGCTTCGGCCTCTTGAGTCTCTAGGATTATAGGCATGTGCCACCATGTCTGGCATAAAGTTGGAAATTTAACTCCTATATATATTTTGACCAGGAACTTTGTTTTATAATGTGTCAAATTAATTATTTACCAGGCAAGTGTATTTATAATGGTTTACATTTTCATCTGTTTTAATAAGTCTATAAGTAAAACTCCTCACTAGGTTTATATTGTGAAATTTATTTTTCTTTTAGTTACAACATAGTCTTACTTTGGTTCAATATCAGTTGGGGTGGCACACAAAATTTTATTTAAGACAGTAGAAATAGTAGCTACTCTAACATTAGAACTTTATGAATCCTGTTCTGTTAGCTGATTTCTCCCCTTCATTCATGTAAGTTATTTTTTCTGATATTTATAAGTTAAAAAATATACAGAAAAGTTGAATGAAGTTTATATTTATATATCCATCATCTAGGTTCTACAATTTTTACTCTATTTGCTTTATCTCTTCTCTATACATTTCTCAAAACTTCTCTTCATCTGACAATCATAATTTTTATGTTTTTTTTTCATATTAAGTTGCATGTAGCAGTATATTTTCACCTTAATACTTTAGTGTATATGTCATTAACTGGAAGTCATTATTTTAAAATTTGGTCTTTTTCTTTTCAGGTAAAATTTTAAAATAGTAAAGTATGTAACTCTTAAGTATACCATTTTATGCATTTTGACAAGTGAATGCACCATACTCTCCTACAAAATACTCACCATTACCATCTCCCCTGATAGTCCCTCTTCTCCTTTGTGATTAGTTCTCACCCTTTCCAGCCTTTCACCATAAGAACCTTTATTATGACATTTTTCTGCCATAAATTACTATTGCCTGTTCTAAAAAACATAACATTTATGAAATTATATTGTAGATACTTCTAAGGTTTTTTTATTTAACATACAGCATTTGAGATTTCATTATGTTGTTGCATTTATCAATAGCGCTTTTTATTTATTTTTAATTTGCTGAGTAGTTCAGCCCATTTTACTGGATATAGATTTTTGGTTTATAGGATTTTTTTCCTTACTCTACTCTGAAGATATTCTTTCATTTTTTTAACTTAGTATTTTTGTTGGGTATCTTATAATTCACACATTTAGAGAATACAGTTGACTGTGTGTTAGTATGTTTACAGAATTATGTAATCATTACATTATTTTGAAAGCATATTCATAATCACCAAAACAAATCTCTTCTCATTAGCAGATACCAAATTCATCCCCCAATCCCCAAGCTCAGAAAACCATTAATCTATTCCCTGTCTCTTTAGAATTGCCTGTTGTATACATTTTGTATAGATAGAAATTATACAATATGTATTTCTTTGTGACTGGCATTTTTCACTCAGACTAATGTTTTCAAGTTTCACTCATTATTATAGCATATATCATTATTTCTGTTTATTGTTGAACAACATTATATTGTACAGATGTTTACCACTTATTATTTCTCCATTTATGAATAGGTAGACATTTGGATTTAGTTGTTTCTTTTTTTTTGCCATTATGAATAATGCTCCTCTGTACAGTCATGTGCAAGATGTTGTGTGAACATACATTTTCATTTTTCTTGGATGGAGACAGAATTTCTGTGTCATATGGTCATTTTATGTCTAGCTTTTAGGAACTGCCAAGCTGTTTTTCAAAGTAGCCATGCCATATTGCTTCCTCACCAGCTAGATAGAATTGTTCTAGATTCTTCACTTCCTTGCCAACACTTCTATTGTCTAATCTTTTTTATTGTTCCTGCTTTTTGTAGTACTGGGTATTGAACCTATGGCCTAGCATACTCTTGGTGAGTGATTGCTCTTCGGAGTCACATCCCCAGCCCTTGTCTTACCTTTTAAATGAGATAATTCATATACCACAAATTTACTTTCCTTGGTCTGGGAGTTGCGGTGCTGAGGATAAAATCCAGGGCCAAGTCCTCATGAGTGCAAGGCAAGCGCTTTACCAATGAACTGCATGCCTACTCCTTTTTTAAATGATTTGAGATCAGGATCTCACTGTGTTGTCCAACCTGACACAAGTGATCCTCCTGCCTCAGCCTCCTGAATAGCTGGGATTACAGGTATGTGCCACCACACCCAGCTAAATTCACTTTAYAAAATGTATGATTTGGCGCTGAGGTAGAATGTTCGCCTAGCATTCATGAGGCTCTGGGTTCGATCCTCAGCACCACATAAAAGTAAAATAAAGATATTGTGTCCACCTATAACTAAAAATAAATAAATAGATATTGTTTTAAAAAATGTATGATTTGGTAGTTTTTAAGTGTATTTACAAAATTGTGTGACTGTTACCCCTCTCTTCTCTCAAAGCATTTTCATCATCCTAAATCAAATTAGTAGTCATTACCAGTTTTCCTCTACCACTAGCTCCTGATAGCTAGTGACGTACTTTGTGTTTCTGTGAATTTAGTGTTTTGAACGGTTCATCTGAGTGTGGTTTTATATGTTTGACTTCTTCTACTTCACATGTTTTCAAGGTTCACTTGTGTTGTGTGATGTGAAAGTACTTCATTCCTGTTTTACAGCAGTATAATACTCCATTTTGTGATTATACCACATTTATCCATTTATTAGTTGATGGACATTTGGTTTATTTGTATTTTGTGATCATTGTAAATAAAATAAGACTGTTAATAAACACTTGCAAACCAGATTTTGCATGAACCTGTTTCCATTTCTCTTGGAAAAACTTCTTAGCCCATTGAATTATCTTGGTGTCTTTGTCAAAAATCAATTGACCATTCTTAGATTTATTGCATTTAAACTTATGCTAGTATAATGCTGTCTTGAGTACTTTGGCTTTGTATTGAGTTTAAAATAAAAAAGCATGAGTCTTTCATTCTTATACATTTTATGGATTTTTTTTTTTTTTTTTKGCCTGGGTTGGGGGAAGGAGGCTCTTTTGTTCCCATAGGAATTTTAGAATTGTTCCCCAAATTTGCAAGAAACCCAGATGGAGTTTTTAGTAGGAATCATTTTGAATTTAAAGATTAATTATGGAATATTATCATCCTGACTCTGATCTTCTGGTCCATGATCTTGGGTGTGTTTCCATTTATTTAGATCATTTTTAATTTCTTTCAATAAGGTATTGGCTTTTTGTAGGGGGGCAGGAGATGGGGAGGGAACCCAGGTGTGATTGACTAATAAGCTACATCTCAGCCCTTTTTTATTTTTTCACTTTGATACAGTTTTTCCAAATTGGCCAAGCTGGCTTCAAACTTCCAATCCTGCTTCAGCCTCTTTAATTGTACAGTTTTACACTTTTTTTGTTAAATTTATTCTTAATATTTTTCTTTTTTGGTGTTATTGGAAATAAAAATAATTTCTAAATTTTACTTCTGAATTGTTCCTTTAGCATATAAACATCTGGAATATTTTTATTTATTGGTTTTTATGTTCTGTAACCCTGAGAAACTCATTTATTAGGTTTGTTTTTTAGTAAAATTGTTAGAATTTTCTCTATACAAAATCATGTCATCAGTGAATAGAAATAGTTTACTTCTTCCTTTCCAATCTGGATGCTTTTGTATACGAAATCAGTAGCTATTCAAATCATTGTTCCTCTATATGAATGTATTTTTTTTCTGTTTGCTTTTAGTATTTCTTCTTCAATTTTGGTTTTGAGCAGTTTGATTATATATATCTAAGTTTCTGCTCTCTTTACATATCCTCTTTGATGTTCTCTGATCTTGAATCTATATCTCTCCCACCTCTTGCATCACATGTTGCTGATTCCAATCCTGCATATATTAGACATTTTTATGTTGTCCCACAGGTCCCTGAGTCTGTGTTAAATTTTTCCAATCTTTTTTTCCTCTACCCTTCAGATTTAATTAATGTATCTTTGAGGTCATTGACACTTTCCTGTCTCCTTTTCATTCTGTTATTAGAACTCTGCAGTAAAATTTAATTTCAGAAATTTTTCAGGTCTAGAATTTCTATTGGTATTTTTTTATATTCTGTATTTTCTAAGATTTCCACTCCTTCCACTCATTGTTTACATATGTTCCCTTACTTAGATTTATATGTATAGCTAGGTTTAAATTTTTTTTGTCTACTGATTTCAGCATCTGGTTTATCTTGGGGTTGGTCCTGGTTGATGGTGTTTTTCTCTTGACACTAGATCACATTTTATCAGTTCTTGCATGTTGAGTATTTTGGACAGTATGATGGACAATGTGTCTGGTAGGTTGTGAAGTCTAGATTCTATTTTTTCAGAATATTGTTTGTTTTTTAGTAGGCAATTATCTTGTTTAGAATAACTCTGCAAAATCTTTCTCTCTGATGGAAACTCAAATTTCTGTTCTGCTTTTTTCTGTAGCTAGGCTGCTTTGCAGTGTATGTACATTATTCAGGCATTGGCCAGAGATTTGGGGAGGGAAACTTGGTTATTTTGAAGTAGTTCAATTGGTTTGAACTTTTTACCTTTTTTTGTTTCCATGGTTTTATTAACTGGAAATATTTGTTGGTATTTGAATTCCAATCCCTTATTTTGACAATTAAATAAGATACTGGTTATCTAATGCTTTTGTTTATCTCTTTATTACAGACCGAGCTGGAAGCATCAGTACTCTGGATTCTTTAGACTTTGCAAGATATTCAGATGATGGTAACAGGGAAACAGATGAGAGAGTGGCAGGTAAGATTGTGAAGACAGACTGAATTCTTGACTTTGCAGAAATAATGAAATGGCTTGAAGAATTATCTTTCTTCTACATTATGGTATGTTAATATAATATGCATAGTTATTATATAAAATTGTGCCAATAATTTATTGTTATTAAATTCTAATTTATTGTAAGTTTGGGGTACCCCAACCAGGGTGCTAAGAGTTTCTGGATATACATACCTGAATTTGGCCTGTAGCCAGCAACTTACAACCAACTAATATTAAAACCGGTGTTAAACAGACTTAACTCAGCCACTGGGTAATACAAAGTTAGATGAACCTTTGCCTCATTACTTTGATTCTCCAAACCAAGGTTCATATTCAGGTATGTGTATCACTGTAATTCTATTGATTGTTCAAAACTGATTCCAGTCTCATTGGTGAGTAAAATTTTATCTTGAATTCCCTGGGTGTTCCTGAGCCATAATAACATATCTCTAGAAACTTTTGACTTTCCCCTGATTCAGAAAATAGAGGTTAATGATTGGTTCGCAAGGTCCTCCAGGACCCCACCTATATCAGTAACAAGGATAGCATCTTTCTTATCTGTTTCTCAGTCTACTTACCTTCCATAGCTCACTCCTCTCCCTAGAGCCCTGCCCTCTAAGTATCACCACTATATTAGCAAGTACTTCAGAGGACCAGATGTGCCCAGTGGAATCTGCTGAGGGTCCACCATGAATTTGCCTAGCTCCTTAAGTATAAATATGTGGTACTTTCTGGTGCCTCTAGGCTGAGGCTCCCTGCCCTTGAAGGCATTCTAGATTGTGTTGCAGGCATTGTAGTTTGTATAAGACTTTGTCACTGCGAAACATGAGAAAAGCAGGCAGGTACCGCTTGGGTATTTTGAGCTCCACTGGAATGTAGGTACTCCTGAAATAGGAGGGATGCCATATGGATAGATAGAACCTGTGAAGGAAATATGAGGTCAGAAAATAACCATAATTTGGATTCCTCTCTTGCCCAGCTCTTGCATTTTTATTTGATTTACTGGAATAAGTTTGATAAAACCTACCAAAGATGATATTACCTGAAATTGTCACTATGAATGAAAATGAGTACTAAAGAAGGCGCAAGCACCATTCTGGATACGCTAAATGTTGATTAACTCAGTGAATAATAAAATTATCTTCATCGTCTCCTCCCCAGAAAACTGAGGCACTCAAAGGATTATATAAGAAGAAAGCTAGGATTCAAATTCAGGTAGTCTAGCAACACAAGCCCACAATTAACTATACCACAGTCTATCTCCTTTCATAAAAGATTAGGTTTGACCTAATTAAAAATAACATTTCAATATATAATTTTTCATTCCTTGCCCAAGAATAGATATTGAACATTCTAATAACTCAGACATTGATATAAGTTAGGGAAAAAAAGATTTGTTTTTCAACAAAAGCTGAGACAAGATTTAATAGTCTAAACAATAGTATTATCAATTAATGGGGAAATCCCTAGAAGAGTTTAATGTGACTTCCCTATATCAAATTACAGTTTAGTGATAAGCATCACCTATTGGTTGTCATAACCAAACAGCAAACTGAATAAGTCAGTAATATCTAAAAATTAGCAAATCAACTGGAAATTACTAAAATAATTTTGGGATTATTTTATCCTATTGTATCATTTGTAAAGTAGCATTGTTACATGTAATTACATATWAGGTATTAGCTGTAGGTTATATATTAAATATGTGAAATTTTAGTTGATTTAGACTAAATATATCCCAATTGTTTTACTGTATATATTGTTAAATATTAGAAAAAAACTCCTACCCAGAAGTTGGCCACATAATTATGTTCTTTTCCTCAACTTACATTTGAAAACTTACCTTTTTGATTGAGACAAATTAAAGGGTTTCATCATTATTCTCACTACGTAGGTATTTAATACCTCTTATTAAAGGAAAAAAAGCATTATAGATGAAAAAGCAAAATGTTTAGATTAAATTTATAATCACAAATTCCTTGGGATAATCTATTCACAGCAATGTAGGTAGAAAAGAAAATTAAAGTTTCTCTAACCAAATTTCACGGTGTATGTACATTTTCATTCCGTGCCTAACTTTTTATCAGAACTCTGAGTAAGAAGGTTAAAAAATCTCATTCAGCCAAGTGTGGTAGCACACACCTGTAATCGCTTATCAAATTGTAATTTGGTATAAAATCCAGTAAATATAGTTCTGATGGTTAACAAATATATTTCATTATTGTGATAACCTAATATATATTAAACTGCACATATTTTGATATGATACAACACTAATTTTGTACTAGGTTGCAAGAACTACATTAAATGTTAAGAATGCACCCTTGACCTTTGAGGGTCTTTGTGTACTTGAAATAAACTGATACATGACACTTTCTGATTTATAAATGTTGCCAAATATAACTGTTTGGATATGTATTATTAAAGATAGAGATGACGATTGTTTGGTAGCCACTCAGTTTTTTTCCCTTTTTTTAAATTTGTGCATCTCAGTTTTGCAGAATGATGGGTATCATTATGGCATATTCCCACATAGATGAAAACTCTGATCAGTTTCATTCTCTAGTAACGACCAACCCTCTCTTTGTCCTTTCCCCCATGCCCACTCATCCAAATGCTAGACAGTGAACAAAGAAGTARTAGATCTGGATGCCCTAGAGACTTATATAACCAACAGTGAAATGTATTAAATATGTGATAGTTTAGACCTTACATTTTTTTTTCTTGGTGCACTGTTATCATTTATTTAAATAGTTATCCTAAATCATCATTATAGACCTTACATTTGTATCTAAAAAATATATATCTAAGTTTGGAGAGATAAAGTAACTTTTAATTATTACATTGTGCTTGTTTTAAAATAAATGCTTTCATCTTCAGTAGAAAAAGGAGAAAGAACATATATTATCCTAAGAGAATAGCTTTCAATCTTTTAATGGTCTTCTACTATAGCCTCTTATTGAATAAAATGTATTAATATGTGGGTGAGACTTCACAACAATTTCAATTAATCACAGTTACCACTTTCCAAAAGATTTTGAGTCTGCTAACCATTGGTARTAATTTAAAAATTATGAAAAGACAATAATTCAGAAAAGATACTTGTCTTGTCATCTGTCATTGGATCAAAGGCTTACCTCACTAAGAATAAAGAAAGTTTTATTACATTTCTGTGCCAGTCTTATGTAAAAGGAGGTTATAGATAATACAGATAATGAGCCATGGTCCTCCCAGGCAAATATAAGGTCTTTTCCAATCTTTAAATTACCTGTCAATATTTATGAAATAGGGGCTGGGGTTGTGGCTCAGTGGTAGAGCGCTCGCCTCGCACGTGCAGGACCCTGGCTTCGATTCTCAGCACTACATAAAGATAAATAAGTGAAATAAAGGTATTGTGTCCAACTACAACTAAAAAATCATATTTAAAAAATATATTTATGAAATAGATACTACGTTTGTTTTTAGCATCATTTTTATTACCATTCCCCTAAATTCAGTGATTGGGTTAATACTCTAATAACCCAATCATTTCTCCTTTAAATCTTCTTGCATTGTCTCACACATGAGCTCTTGGGGGACACCTATTATCAAAACCATAACAAATATGGAAGTATACATTTTCACATAAAAGTGATTTAAGTAGTGAAGAAATCAAACCAAAATGAGCTTAATTTAATTGATTTTTAAGTAAAAGCCTTAAGTCTTCTTAGAAGTATCAAAAGAGATCCACGTTCTAAGTGTCAGGATTGCCATTATTTAAATTTTTTTTTTTTTTGTAATTTGAGCATCTGCTATGTTCATCATAATGTTAGACCCTCAGAATGGAAGTACAAAAGAGATTAAATTTCTACTCTAGAGAAATGTGTTCTGAAATATGTCTGTGTCTGTAATAAAAATGTATTCAGTGCTTTGGAAACAGCAACAAGGATCTGATTGCTTTTAGAACCACCAGTATTCCTGTTTGAGTTCATAAGATTTCATTTAGTATTGGCAAGGACGTGGGGGAAATGTACATTTGTACATATCTGGTGGGACTGCATATTGGTGCAATCACTCTGGAAAGTAGTATGGAGATTCCTCAGAAAACTTAGAATGGAACCACCATTTGACTCAGCTATCCCACTCCTCAGTATATATCCTAAGGACTTAAAATGAGCATACTATAGTGATGTTGCCACTTCAATGTGCATAGCAGCTCAATTCCCAATAACTAAGCTATGGAAACAACCTAGGTACCCTTCAATAGATGGATGGATGAAGAAAATGTGGTACATATACACAATGGAATATTACTCAGCCATACAGAAGAATGAAATTAAGGCATTTGCCAGTAAATGGACAGAACTGGAGACTATCATGCTAAGTGAAATAAGCCAATCCCCCAAAAACCAAAGGCCAAATGCTCTCTCTATTATGTGGGTGCTGATTCACAATGGGATGTGGGGAGTGGAGATTCACTAGATTGGACAGGGGAATGGGAAAGACAGTAGAATGAATTACATATAACTTTACAATGTTAAAAAATGAATGCACGACCAGTGTAATTTCACATCATGTACAACCACAAGAATGGGAAGTTATACTCCATGTATGTATGTCAGAATATATCCTACTGTCATGTATAACTAAAAAGAACAAATTAAAAATATATATATTTCACTTAGCATCAGAGTCCTTGACTTTGTTCTCATATCTCTACCTGTTACTAGATAACCTCTCTAGTTTGTTGTACCTCAACTCTTGTAGGATCTAGAGAAATAAAAACTATCCTTTCTAGCCAGGTATGATGGTGCACACCTGTAATACCAGCTACTCGGTTGGCTGAAATATGAGAATTGCAAGTTTAAAGTCAACCTGGGCCATTTAAAAAGATCTTCTCAAAATAAAAATAATATAAAGGAGTGGGCAAGTAGTTCAGTGGTAGAACACGCCCAGGTTCAATCCCCAATATCACCAAAAAAATAAATAAACTATGTTTTCTAATTTATATGATTTATCACATAATAGCATCAAACATTGGAATGTTCACTCACAAATATTTGTGGAATAAGTTTATTTTCTAGGTATTATACTGTCTTAGGACCTGCTGTCAACACAATAATATGTGGCCTTTATTATGTTTACGAGTTCTACCAGGCATTCTAAAATGGCATTCAGATTTTTGCCTATAGAATATTCTGCCCCTTTCTCCTGCTAGGATCAAATTCATAGAGTAGGCATCAGTAGCGCTCTCATTCTTTTGGAAGTAGCTTGGCAGCATTCATATCCAGCTTTCTCAGGATTAGGAGGGAAAAAGCCCCGTTGCACATATATCATTTCCTTCCTATCAGTAATATGATTTGATTTTCTTATTTTAAAGTATTATATAAATCTCATTATTTTATTATCATTTAAAATAGAATAGGTGTTTCAACAAGGCTGAAAAGAAGATAGGTAGCATTTTCAAAATGGACTTATCTTCATATGTTACCATGAAATTAATAAGATAGACTCAAAAAAATACATCATTGTTGTAGGTGGTTATATTTAATCTAAAAATTATATAGTCATAAATTTTTGTGGATTTGGGATTCTATTATCTTTGACGTTTCCTAAAATGTATTTCATGATGATGTAAGTTTCATAGAGGAAGAACAAAAACAGAAGAAAAAAATCAGAGAATTTCATATATATGTTTAGAAATTCATAGTTTTTTTGCAGAAATTTTCAGAACTTTTAATATGACTATAGGTTATTATAGTAATTTATATGACAAGTCATAAAGATCTTAACTATATAACAGTTATGGGAACAGATTAATGTATATTTAGAGAGTGATTAAAGGGTTAAAAATCAATATGGTATGGACACTTAATTGATAGGATAAGAGTAAGAGTGAGGGATAAGTATAAGTAACCTCTAGGCTTCCCGTTTTGCCAGCTAGGTAGATAGTGGTGCCATTAAGGGAGTCAGACAGCAGGAGGAAAATCAGATTCGAAAAGAAGATAATGAAATTCATTTAATTAGGATCAAATTCAAAACTTAGAAGACTCTCAGGCAGCCATGTCCAGAAGATAAGTAGGTAAGATTATATCGTAGGAAGAGAATTTAAGGATTTCTGAGTCATCAAAGGAATTGTGATAGTTAAAACCACAGTATCATCTCAGTGACTAGGTAGAATATGAAGAGAAAGGGGCTAAGGATGACACACTGAGAAACACCAACTTTGAAATGAGTGACAGAGGAACAGAAATGTAAACAGGAAGAACAACAACAGGAAGCAGTTTTTTCTTTAAAGGTTACAGGATAAAGGATGCCTTTTGCCCACTAAGATACCTATAGAAAAGGGGATGTTTACAAATTATGGAGATTACACCATGCTTTAATTCATTTACTTATCATTCTCTAAGTCATATCTAATGGTATGTTTGTTAAATCCACAGTGGGCATGAGAATTTTCTAAACTTAGTAGAGGGTAGAGATTGTACTGTGTTAATATTTTTGTATTATTTTAAAAATAGAGGCTGCACACATTTGCACACGTCTGTGATCCCAGTGGCTCAGGAAGCTGAGGCAGGAGGATCGTGAGTTCAAAGCCAGCCTTAGCAAGTTAGCAAAGCCTAAGCAACTCATTGAGACCCTCTCTCTAAATAAAATATGAAAAAGGGCTGGAGATGTAGCTCAGTGGTTAAGTTTCCCTGGATTTAACCCCAGGACCTATTCCCCACCGCCAAAAMAAAAACAAAAACAAAAAAAACCAAAGAAATGGATTTTTATTCTAGCATATTAAGAAAATTGGAGAGAATTTTTCTTTTCATGGGACTATTGTTAGTATACTTAAATAAGTGTTAAAGATTCAGAAGTATTATTTTCAATCACCTTATATTAAGAAAAAGAAATCCAGATAATCCAACTTGGAAGAAAACAATTGTACATTTACTATGAGATGGCAAAGTCCTGATGTTAATATATTAATTTGAACTGTTCTTCAGTGGTGAACTGGAATGAGAATGAAAAAATACTTAGACCAGTGTTACAGAAAAGGTCTTCCAAGATAATATTTTGAGTTTCATGCCAAAAAGAATTAAGTTTAGTGAGTATTTCAAGATAATATTAGTGATAAATTGATTGGGGCCACAAAGGATTATTATTTCTGTTTTGATCTTTAGCACTTCACCTTTGATGTTTTCACATAGTTGTATATCTCCTAAGTCATGAAAGAGCGACCTTTAAGTACTCAAGTACCTCTAATATCCTTGTAATATCCAGCACAGGCTGAGAAATATTTCAACTATAATTTGGAGTTGCTTTCCAGACTTAATCATTAATTATTTTGACAAATTATAGTATGAATTATTAATATATACCTGAATATTTGCAGTTATTTTGAGCTGAAATCCAATGATTTAATAAAGAAGAGACATACTCATATAAGTATAACATTGCCATAAAGAGCCTTTCTTGAGAAATTCTCATATAACTTCAATTTCCTGATTATATCCCTTATATAGATGTGCTATAGCCTCAAAGATATGTATTTGTGTTTTAAAATCAATATTGTATACTAAGAAACATGCAGCAGAGTGAATTCATATTGATAGTCACTGTCTTTTCAAAGTATTGGTAATTTCTGATGACATTTGGCRATCATATATATATATCAAGAGGTGCTAAAAATATAAATTCTTGCCGTCTGACATGGGTTTTTCTGGCTTTCTGTGCCTTTATCATTCAGTGTTTTGCTCTTGGTCACCTAAACTTTCACCAATCCAATTTTGAGTTTTTCCTAGTTTGTGTTTTAACCAGCCACCCTCCCTTCCCCTTTTTTTTTTTCCCCACATTTCTATCATTCTGGTGTAGGGCATTTCTGATCTGCAATTGTTCTGTATTATGTCTTAGTAAATTTTAAGTGATATTGAAAGCATAATGTATATACTTTTAAGGTACAAGCTAGATATTTTTAAATCAAAATCGATTACTTAGAATTTTGAAATTTAAAAACAGGTAAACCAATATTCTACATAAAACCATTCTGTAATGTGTATAGTCTCACTGTAACACATGTGCTTAGAGTTTGCAAAATTTGATTTAGAGAAAATGTTTTCACTTTGTTGCACAGAAATCTTTGCAGATCAGCATTGCTGACTACCGGAAAACATATAGTAACATACAGTGTCATCTGATTTTTAGTTTTGCTTCCATGTTGCTGCAGTTAAATTCTGTGCATCAAAATAATTGGCCATTATGTACTAGATGTGATTGAACAACATTTTAAGTTTTTATTAAACATATGCAAACTGAGTGAATCCTAATTTTTCCATATATTTTTATACCTTTATTTTCTCTGATATTTTCTGATGTGACATCTTTTTTCTATGGTCAATCGGAAAAAAATGCATCTTTAAGATAAAACCTTAAATTTCCTAATTTATATGCAGGGCTATTAACCACTATGGTTTTAACACGCATTTGTATCAAAGATCGATTAAATTTCTCAGAGCTTTACTTAACAGAAATGTCCTTTTTTCCAGTCTGTTTGCTTTTTCAACACAGTATTCATCAATTTTAAGAAAATTTTTCATTTAAGACAATTTAATTTTATGATGAAGCATTTTAAAGAGTTTATTAAAAAGCTTCCTATATTCATATTTATTGTAGGAGAAATCTTTGAGTTTCATTAATCTTTCATAACATGAACAGATTTGTTTACTATTAAATTTCAAAAATTCTGTTTRCTTGATACTAAGTAATAGTATATACAATCATTTTAAAAATGATTGAAGTGTACATAGTCATTTGTTTTAGAATTATTTTCAATAGATATTAAAAGAAAAACCATTTATTTTTTGGCTTTAAATGAAAACTAAAATAGCTTGTTTTTAGAAAACATGCTTGTTTGTAGAAAAATTCATAGGCATTCCAACGTTTATTAAATATTTAAGCTATAGTCTTTCAACATCTTAATAAAGGGATCTCTATTCAGTAATGTTTCTATATATTGATTTATAGCATTGTTCTAGACAATGTGTTTAAAAATAACTTTAAAAAAAATTTTAAATGGATATTTGCTTGAATTTATCTATTTTTTACCTTGGATATTTACTTGAACTAATCTATTTTTTACCTTTTCTCCTAAAATTGCATCACCCAAAAAACATGTCATTACATTTTCTCTCCTAGACTGAGTGAAACAGAAGTAACCAGATTGCTGATATTTTTATTTAACTAAATGAAAGTATGCCATAGATTTTTATTTTTAAATAGAGCTATTCCTTGTCAGACAGCTAGAACATTTGATTTGATAATAGCCCCCTGAATTCTACAAAAACTATGGAAAACATTCACCAGTTTGCTTGCAAATCAACTCTGCTGCATGCGTTCACAAGTTTCATAAAGATTGCATGCTTTCTGTTTTCAATACAAATTGTATTTTTTTTCATACCCATCTTTGCTTTTTATTTTTTTTATTTTTGTTTCCCTTTTCTTGGTTGGATGCCTGTGTGTGTTTATTCCAAATCCCTGTCCAGTCCTGGAGTTTGAACTACGGAAAGCCAAGGAGACCATTCAGGCCCTCCGAGCCAACCTGACAAAGGCTGCAGGTGGTGTACATAAAATTTTTTTGAGACTTTTTCTACTTTGACAATGTAGAAGTAGCTGGGATATTTTAAAATATAAAATAGTAAAACATTATTTATATTTTTTTCCACCAGAACATGAAGTTCCTTTACAGGAACGAAAAAATTACAAATCGAGTCCTGAAATTCAGGTGGGTGAATGACAGATCTAAATGTATTTTCCACATAAAATGGTGGTACAAGTATTGAGGAGCTAAACTTGCAGTTTACATCTGTCTTTTATTTTGTTTCCAGGAGCCAATCAAACCTCTTGAAAAGAGAGCTCTAAACTTCTTAGTCAATGAATTTTTATTGAAGAATAACTATAAGCTTACATCAATAACTTTTTCAGATGAAAATGATGATCAGGTAAAGTCACTTTATTTTAAAGTAATTTGTTTCCTTTTTTTACTTAGTTTACTTTCTCTTTTATCTGTTTTTTGTTTGTTTGTTTGTTTTAAGTTACTATACCTGTAGTAAATTCTAGTACCATTCTACTGGTTAGCAAAAACCACAATCCCTAACCTTCTCAGTTTTGTATTCCATTGGTTTACAGAGTATTTTGTTTTCCTGTGGCTTCTACATAAAGACTTTTTGTTCTTTCCAGATAGCTTTTTATAACTTCCCAGTAATTTATAATCCATCCATAGTTGCCTGTATTCATAAAGTGTGCTGTTTGTTTTTAATTTAAAATGTTTACTCAGTAATATAGATTAATTTACACTTAGAAATTCAGTTTAGGATTGGGATTGTAGCTCAGTGGTAGAGCGCCTGCCTAGCATGTGTGAGTCACTGAGTTCAAGCCTTAGTACCACATAAAAATTAATTAATTAAAGGTTTCCTGTTCATCTACAACTAAAAATATTTTTATTGAAAATAAATTCATCATAGATAACAAATTAGACTAAAAAGTAATAAAAAAGAAATTCAGTTTAACTGTAAAAATTTCAGTAGCGTTATGACAATTAAATGTTAGGTGACACAATAATTAAGATGGTGTTTCAAATGAAAGTGAAAATAGTAGCTGTACTTTTGAATAGGGACCAATTTTAGAAGTTCATTCTTATTTTCCTGATAAAATCTTCTAAGTAAAGAAATGATGGCTAAATTTAGTGTTGTCTTTTAGCTCTGGAAATCTTGGCTACTTAGTATTAATGGATCTGTTTGAATTATATACCTTAAAAAGCTGAATTCCAGAGAGTTCATTAGGTAGAAATAAGGAGCCCATCATTTCTTGTTGTTTTTTTTTTTTTTTTAATGCTATTTTATTTATTTTTTTGTTGTGCATGGAGATTGAACCCCGGACCTGTACATGCTGGGCAAAGACCATACCTCTAAGCAATACTTTCATCCCCAGGAGATCATCATTTTAAATTACATTTATTTCATTGGTTCATAAAATCTTACATGGATCTTTTTGCATCTCTTTAAGGGAGATAGCATTTCAATAGCCTCTTAGTTATTGCAAAGGCTAGACTTAAATATACTACAGTAAAGCATTGCTTAATAGAATAGATGTTTTCTGAGAACCACATCATTAGGCAATTTCATCATTGTACAGACGTTATAGAATAAACTTAAATAAACTAAAATGGTTATAACATTGTTAAGTGATATAACCTTATGGGACCACCATCTTACATGAAAGCTGTAAATATCTAGTTGTTTTTAAATGGTAGCTTTACTGAACATATACTAAGTAAAAGACATTGAACTGGTATTTTGCTAACATAAATGCTTACTTTACTATGGTTATAGCTTAAGTGAATTGTGTTTATAAATGATGACTAACCAAAGAACAAGAAAAATTTTGACTGTGGGAAAGACTAAGAGGCTAAAACAAATGCAGAAAGGGGAAAAGAAAAACAAAGAATATTTAGGACACATATAACAAATAGCAAGATTATAGGTTTAAACTTCTGATGAAGCCCAGACACTATAAACAAATTTGTTGAGAGAAATTAAAGAATACTTAAATGAAGAGATATATTGTTCTCTTTGATAGTTAACATTGTGCTCAATGTTGTCTGTTAATTTTGATTTGTATTTTTAATGCAATTCTAATCTGTATGTCCCTCATATTTTTCATTCCTATGGAAAAGGTAAGGAACTAGTATAGCCAAAACAACTTTAATAAAGAACAGAGCACTTAAACTAAAGCTACCTGATGTCAAGTCTTAAAAAATTCTACAAAACAAGACAGTATCATTTTTAAACAGACAAGTTAATAAATGAAACAGAATGGAGTCCAGAGATAGACTCACATATGGAAGGTTCTTTGATCCCCCACAAAATGCAAAGTAAATTCCATACATAAAGAACAACATTTTGGCCTTGGGGTTGTGGCTCAGTGGTAGAGGGCTCGCATTTCAAATGATCCTAAAACAATTTGATATCCATATGTTCTCCAAAATGAAAACCAAACCATATTCCATAACATATACAAAAAATCAGCTCAAAATGAGTCATAGACTTTAGTGTAGATCCTGAAAAGCTGTGAGGCTTCTAGAGGAAAACAGGGAGAAAATCATTGCTATTTTGAAAGGTAGGCAAACATTCCTTAGATCTGACTACATGTTTGTTCTCCATCAGATATGCTGTTATACAAATTAATAGCTTTTGCTCTTTGGAAATCATTGACAAGTAAACAAAAAGACAAGTCAGTGTATGTAAAAAAAAATCTGTTTATATTCATTTTTTAGCTTTAGGTGGACACAGTTATCTTTATTTTATTTTTATGTGATGCTGAGGATCGTTTGAACCTAATGCCTTATGCATGTTAGGCGAGTACTCTACCACTGAGCCACAACCCCAGCCCCTGTAAAAGTATTTTTAGTGTAACAATATTTATAAGTAGTATATTTCAAACGAATTTGTTAGAGTGCTCTAACCTCAATAATAAGAAGTTAACCCAATTTTTAAAAGAGATTTATGCAGGTACTTCACCAAAGAAGATATTGTCATGGCAAATAAGTGCATGAAAAAAGATACTCAACCCCTTTATTCATTAGAGATATGCAAATTAAATTACATTGAGATACCACAACACATTAATTAGACTGTCTAAGATTGTACAAGTCTTGACAAAGATGTAGAAAGTCTTACGGTTGCTGGTTCTRAGCACAATTTAGATATATAATAAGTTTTGGGTTAATAATAGATAAAAGGACATTTGAATAATACATGTAATAATCATTTAATATTTTTTACCAGTTAAAATTTGTTTAATTCTTGTTGTGGGCCAAGCACTACAGTAAGTCTTTTAAAATTATTGCATTTATCCTAAGAGCTAATAAGTAATATATCTATTTTACAGATGACTCATTTAAGCCTCGAATTAATTTATAACAACAATGAGTGGTAACTAACAGAAATTTCATATGTGGGTTTGGTTTTCTCCAAAGCTCCCACTCTGACTATGCATATTCATGTCAAATTAATCCTTAATAATAGCAGTCTAATTATTCAAATAAGCCTTTTCTAATGTATTAGGGAGAGATGGGTTTGTAAGAAAGTATATTGAATGTTGATTACTCAAGAACTTCTAAAGCTCTTCTAAAAATATTTGCCCATAGAAGTTGAAATGCTATGCCTTTTTTAATTTTAATAAAGTTGTGTTAGATTGAATAAAAGAATGTTTCAAAATGCAACAAATCAAAAAGCAGATATTTGGATTTTGAAAATTGCCAGAAGCATTTTTTTTGATAACGTACGTTAGATTCAAAGAGCTACAGCAAAAAGATAAGCAAATTAAATTAGCTATTTATCCACTTGAGTTTATACTAATCATATATAGATTGGATAATGGAAGAAGAAAACAGGGCTATCATTGAGTTTACTTGTAATGTGCAACATTAGGTACAATTTATGAACTATGACTTTCTTAATCTAAAAATGTTGAATGACTTCATGCTGTTATTTGAGCACGTTTTTTAAGCTATTAGAGTTTACATTTAAGACAATTAAACCTCCTTACCTAGAATGTCAGAAAACTTACAAATAATATGATAATTCTTATCACTTGGAACATATTTTGACATTACAGCAAACTTATGGTTATATTTTGTTTTTCAGATGTTATCAACAGTAATTTTAAAAATGCAAGATAGGGCTGGGGTTGTTGCTCAGTGGTAGAGTGCTCTTGCCTTACATATCTGAGGCACTTGCTTCAATGCTCAGCACTACATAAAAACAAATAAAGATATTGTGTCCATCTACAACTAAAAATATATTTTTTAAAAATGCTAGATAAGGACCTGAGGTTGTGGCTCAGAGATAGAGTGCTCCCTTGTCATTTGTGGGGCACTGGATTCAATCCTCAGCACCACATAAAAATAAAATAAAGGTATTGTGTCCACCTACAACTAAAATAATAACAATAATAAAATGCCAGATAAAAATTGTCTCTACGATTTTTTTATGTTATTACTTTTTAGGATTTTGAATTATGGGATGATGTAGGATTAAACATTCCAAAACCTCCAGACTTACTACAGCTTTACCGAGATTTTGGAAATCATCAAGTGACTGGTAAAGATCTTGTGGATGTTGCCAGTGGAGTAGAAGAAGATGAATTAGAGGCTCTTACACCAGTTTTGGGCAGTCTTCCTCCATCCCTCGAAACGCCTCAACCTGTAGAGGTAAGAAATACAAACTCAAGTTCATAAAAAATACTTGAACTGTGTAAAAACATATGATGAGATATTGAATTACTTTTTCTCCTTTTTTGATTTTAGAACTCTTTGCTAATACAAAAATTAGAAGATAAAATTAGTTTATTAAATAGTGAGAAATGGTCATTGATGGAACAAATCAGAAGACTTGAAAGGTTAGTACTTAGTCATTATTTGTGAAAATTCTCTTTGAACTTTGTAAAGACAGTGGTAGATTATATACATATATGAAACAACTTTTCAATTGTAAAGCATACTTTTTCATGTTTTAGTAATTCTGAAAGAATTATAATGGATTTATGTATGTAAAATTAAAAATCCTTTATTCCCCCAAAAAAGTTCTTAAATCACTGTGGTGGTATTATAATTGCTTACGTCTGTAAACTAAGAAATAAGGTATTTTGATCTCCCGTGTTGTGTCAGTATTGATAAGACAACTCTTCCACATTAGTGTTGTACATTTTTCCCATTATTTTATTTTGTTCTTATAATATACCATAATAATCTTATAATAATCTGATGTCTCCCACTTTGCACATGAAGAAAGGAAAAGTAAGGGCCAATCAAAAGCTAAGTATATAAAGCCATTTTTATGACTTATTGTTCAAGAGTTTATAGCTATGCCTTTATGTATATGAAACATTTGTGAATATTGTAGAGCAAAAGATTATTATTTGCCAAACCATTTGCTATTAATGTTACATTTTTAAAGCATTGAACCCATTATGGGGTTTATTCTATTGACAAAGTTTTCAAGTTGTTCTATGGTAATTTCTCTTTTGTTCTGCAGTGAAATGGACTGCCTCAAAAATGAACACTTTGCTATCCCAGCAGTTTTTGAATCTATTCAACCTTCCTTAGATCCATCTCCCCACAAAGACTCTGAAGACAGTGGACAAAGTCAAGTTGTAAATAATTTAGAGAAGGGAAAAAATAAGGATATCCATTCTTCAATAACAGATATAACTGATTCCATTATTCTTAAAGAGAATTCTTCAGATTCTTTCCCCAGGATAGAAAGGGAAGGAATGCCATCTTCTTCTCCAGCAAGTAAAACCACAGTTCATTTTGATAAACCCAACAGGTTAGTATGCATCCTATATTTTGAAATGTACCTTTTATTTTATTGAACTGGAAGAACTTCAGTTATTATTTGTACTCATTTTTCTTATTTGCAGATCAAATGTGTGAATTTCTTTACATTTTACAGGAACATGGCATATAGCAAAGTTTATGACACCAAGGAGAAATAAATAATAAAGGGGCTAGGTTTTGAAGTGCATAAATAATATGTATGTTACTATGCTGTATACACTTAGCCAGTGCGTTTTACCTTTTCTTTGTTCAGTCAGTATCAAATTCTGAAGGTTTTAGTGCTGCACAGTTGCTCATGTACTAAAAAGGGAATAATCTTTGCTCCCAGTCATTTTTCCTATATCTACTTCTATTGCTGATAATGTATTATAAATATTCTCTTAATCTCTTTATTTAATTTTGGGGGGTTACAGTGCTTGAACTCAAAGAAATGAAAAAAACATGGTCCCTGTCCTTCATGATCTACTTGASAAGGCAAAATATAATTTTGAAATCTTTTAGGATATAATTTGAAAAAATATTTTAAGATAGGAATATTCACTAGGCTGTATTTATATGTTTTGGGCATATAATTTAGTTCATAGTGCTTTATGTATACTGACTCTTTTAATCCTTATAAATATAATGTGGTGTACTTTTATCCACAAACCTTTTCCTCCTATTAAATAGAGAAATATTGTACCTACTACTAGGATGCAATAGCAAAGCATTACTAAATTTGCTTTAGGTTCAAAAGTCCTTTTTATTAGTGGGAAATATTGGATTTTTTTTTATACCTATTAAATTTTTTTTCTTTAGGTAATTATGGGGGTTAATGAGATGAAATAGATGTTGTACAGTCCTCAAAATGTATTTTTTCAAAGTTCCAATATGGAAAAGATATTTTAAAAATCTATTGTAATACTCAATTGTACAGCATTATAAGTTCTTTAGTTTTTAGAAGAACTACTGTATTTATTTATTTTTTTATTCCAAAACAATCCAAAGGAGGTAGATTAAATTCGTTCAACTAAATTTCTTTTAGTTTTTACTGTGTTCCCCTCAGTGTTACAAGGATTGCAGTAGTAAGCAAGACATATAGGAATTCTTTCAGTTACAAATTTATAGTATGAGAGAGACAATCAAGCAATTACATTAAAGTATCAAAATTGGTAGTATAATCGTTGCTTTGGAAACACACAATTAAGTCCCCTAACCTTGTTATCTAAGCAGGAAAGATTTCATGTATCATCAAAGTGTCATCTAACCTGGGACTGAAAGACTTAAGTTACAGGAAAAGAGATGAGTGTTCCATTAAGAAAGATTACTTTGGGGCTGGGGATGTGGCTCAAGCGGTAGCGCACTCGCCTGGCATGCGTGTGGCCCGGGTTCGATCCTCAGCACCACATACCAACAAAGATGTTGTGTCCGCCGAGAACTAAATAAATAAATAAATATTAAAAAATTCTCTCTCTCTCTCTCCTCTCTCACTCTCTCTTTAAAAAAAAAAAAAAGAAAGATTACTTTGTACAAAGAAAGCAGTGTGCTTTTTGAAAAATAGGATTTAGTAAGATTTGGTCAATAAATATAAATGAAAGGAATAATTGAAAGCATCCTGCAGGGTAAAGATAATTAGAAGGTAGCAAGACTGAAAGAGAGGAGACTAATATAAGATGTATACATTGGAAGTATCCAAATAAGAAATGAGTAAGACCTGTTAGAGCTTTGAGAATGAGGATTGAGAGATTTTTGGTAGATTTGCAAGATAATTGAAAGTCAAATGATTGGATTTGGGGTTAAAAGAAAGAATCAAAGCTGATATGTGTTTTCTGGCTTAAGCAAGTGGGGAGATTATGGCCCCTTTCTTTGATAAAATATAGGAGGAACATAAAAGAACAAAAGACTGAAATATTGGCACACCACTTGAACTCTGCAATCATAGAGATTACTGGGTACCACTTTGTGGCATATATTAAATAAGCATTATTATATAAGTTTTGGTGTTAGCCTTTTCTTTATAAGTTGAGCACAGAATGTATAACTTAATCATAATTTTTTGAATGCACTATAATAGAGATCAGTGTTGTGTTAGAACTGTAAACGGGTCTAATCTTCTGTATTAAATATAAATAGGTTAATATTTTCTATTACTAAAAGACTTTTTCCTCTAAAATGTATTATAAACATTGGTTTATCTTTAAATTTTGCCACTTTGTTCAATCCCACAGCACTGCATGTGGGTCTCTAACATGAAAGTTTGTTATTGTGATACATATTAGTACAACTTCAGTTGCTCTTAGCAATATACTAGGTCAATCTTTGTATCTACTTTACCTTCATTAATCTTTTTGGAACCATGGAGAATTGGAGGTGAGAAAAGTCCTCATTTTAGAATTTGCAAATATTTTCTATAGTCATTGCTACTATACTATTTCAGATTTGATCCAATAATTTAAGGGCCATTTGTTCATTCACATAACATCAAGCTACTTCAGGATCATTGGTTTGTGTTTTCTCCCCTGTATTTTTCTTTAGTAAACTGTTCTCTAAGTAACTGATGGTTGAGAAATTTGGTTAATGTTTATAAGTTAGAAATAATGCAGAAATAGTAATATGCACTACTTTTGCCTTAAATGTCAGTGATAATTCTTTGGTATTGTCTCCTTTCATCCATTGTTTTCTTCTAGGAAATTGTCTCCTGCTTTCCACCAAGCACTACTTTCTTTTTGTCGAATGTCAGCCGATAGTCGTTTAGGATCAGAGGTAATTGACACCAGATATTCTTATTAACTTCCTTAAAGTATTCTACTATTTTCTTCTTCATGTCTCATATAAAAGCATATATGATAACATTGTAGTTCAAATGAAAGTCTGTTATTAAGAAATAGTACCTTAAATTTTTTTTTTTTTTAAAGAGAGAGTGAGAGAGGAGAGAGAGAGAGAGAGAGAATTTTTTTTAATATTTATTTTTTTTAGTTCTCGGCGGACACAACATCTTTGTTGGTATGTGGTGCTGAGGATCGAACCGGGGCCGCACGCATGCCAGGCGAGCGCGCTACCGCTGAGCCACATCTCCAGCCCTAGTACCTTAAATTTTAAACTTATAAGGAAATTAGTTGATTATTTCTGCTTTTGAATGATTTTTTTTAAGTATTTTTTAGTAGTAGTTGACACAGTATCTTTATTTTATTTATTTATTTTTATGTGGTGCTGAGGATCAAACCCAGAGCCTTGCACGTGCTAGCCGAGCACTCTACTGCTGATCCCCAGCCCCAGCCCAGATGATTATGTTTATTAATATTAATCTCTTGTCTCTGTTTTTAAAATGGTATTCTAATGATAGCATCCTTTGGGCACAATTCAGAAAACTAACTTAGGTGTATACTGTTTTATGTTTCAGGCATTTTTAGATAGCGGTTATTTTCATTCAAGGTGATTGTTTTTGATAGCTGAATTTGTTAACTATCATAACTGTTTTTCTCTTATAATTGTTGTGGACTCATTTTGAGAGCTTTCCCCCCTGTTCCTCATCTTTGTATTCACTTCTTTTCTAGCTGTTTTTTAGTTGATTCCACTTGTCCTTTCATGGGCTGTATCTTAGATTATCTCTGAGAATATCAAACAGCTAGAGGATGGTTTGGTTGCACTCTGGAAATCTTCATTATAAGATTATGTCTGCTTCCTTGGGCTGGGATTGTGGATTAGTGGTAGAATGCTTACCTAACATGTGGGAGACGATGGGTTCAATCCTCAGCACCACATAAAAATAAGTAAATAAAGTAAAGGTATTGTCCAACTACAACTAAAAAATAATATTTTTTTAAAAAGATTATATCAGCTTCCTTGGACCACCTTTTATATGCAGCTTTATTGTACAAACTTCCTGGAAAGTGATTGCAGTCATATATTTCAGGGATAAAAACATAAACAACCCCAAACCTGTGCAATCCCTACTTGTTCCCAGAATTAAAGCCTGATAGGCCTCCCTGGCTTCACCCTAATTTTTTTACTACTATTTTATTTTATCTTTTAAACATTTTTATTTTTAATTGGCACATAGTAATTACACATATTTATGGAGTATGTTGTGACATTTCAGTACATTAATACCGGGTAATGATGAGATTAGTGTAGTTGATATGTCTCTCACTTCAGACATTTATATTTATTTGTATTGGAACATGCAAAATCATAGCTATTTGAAATATTCAGTTAATCGTTGTCTACCATACTGATCCTATCATGCTATAGAACGTTAAAAGCTCTTCCTTGGGCTAGGGATATAGCTCAGTTGATAGAGTGCTTGCCTTACATGCACAAGGCCCTAGGTTCAATCCCCACCAACACGAACAAAAAGAAGAAAAAAAAGCTCTTCCTTCTAGCACTGTAAAATAAATAAAGTTATTCCTTCTATCCAATGTGCCCCCTTTAATTCATCTCTGGCCCAAAAAACGTTAATGCCATTTGGGGTCAATGTTGTTGTGGTCTTTATTACCATAAGTTATAATGTTGGAATGTGTGTTCAGAACAGAGGTGGCAGGATCCAAATCATTTTTAACCTACTCTTTTTTGATTATTATTATTATTACTTTTAGTTGTAGATGGACACCATAACTTTAGTTTATTTATTTATTTTTATGTAGTGGTGAAGATTGAACCCAGTGCCTCATACATGTGAGGCAAGCGTTTTACCACTGAACTACAACCGCAGCCCTTTGCACAGAATTCTTCCACTGTCAACATTTTTTAATTATTTGGTTTTGTAGGTGTCTCGGATTGCAGACAGTGAAAAAAGTGTTATGTTAATGCTGGGACGCTGCCTGCCACACATTGTTCCTAATGTACTGTTGGCAAAGAGAGAGGTAAAACACATCAAGTATTTTCACCTTAATAATGCCATCATGTTGTCCATTTTTTGTCATTTTTGAAGTTTAGTGTTATATTTTTATTTTTTTAAAGTCTATTACTTGCAATCATATTCTTACTTTTGTGCATGCATCTCTGCTCCTAGAGAATGGTTTTACACCTCTGTCAGGTGAGTTCAGTAAAACTGCATGGTATTCGTGTTTTTCCAATTTTGCTTAAAGCATTATTAGCTTCTGCAACACTAACTATTACTGTAGGTCCATTTATGTGTCATGAACACTTTATATATATATATTACCAGTTGACTAATTTGTTTCTGCTATTATAATGTACTTGTTAAGTATTGAAAATTAACAGGGGCTAATAATTATGTAATTCTTTCCTCAGATGTACTTGTAGTTACTTATTATAAATGTTAGTTTTATTATGTGTTTTTGCCAGTAACACATGATAGTGATAGAATAATTATAGTGATAGGATAGATAGAATAGATACTGACTGTAATAACTTAAATACCTTTAGATTTTACCTTGTGGATAACTTGTTGATAGATTCCTTAAATAAATAAGGTACAATTACAGGTATATATTTTATTCCATATAGTCTAAAAACTTTCTAGGAAGTTATTTTCATAGTTACATTTATAAATCATATTTAGCCAATAAAAGATTAATGAGAATTACCTGTAATCTTATTTAAATGACAGTAGATTATTTATTTGCTAATAAATTGTGTCTTGAAATTATTCAGTTTAAGAGATAAATTTCCAGTTCACAAATTTTTTATTATAAATGGATTGACTATTTTAGAACATAAGTTTCTTAATATTTACCTCTAATTTTACTTATAATTCATGGGACCTACAGTATGATAGGTACATGATGCATTGGCAAAAACCCATTTAAAGCTCATCCTTAGTTATCCATTTAGCAGAAGAAATTTGTACTGATCCTTAAGAAAATTTAAATGTAGAGTATTAAAAGCTTTTATTCTTATAGTTATTTTTTAATTCCAAGAGGTTAAAAAACTATTTGTGCTGGTCATTTTATTTTTATCTAATAATTTAAAAGCAGTAAGATAATAAGAATTATGGATGTTTTCTATGTCTTGAAGGATCAGTGTCCAATTTCAGATTGTTTTGCAGTTCTGCCTGGCAGAATGATGTTTGAGCTTCTTTTTCTTTTTCAGCTTGTAACATAACCATGCATTAATGTTTGCATCCCTTTTACTATGTTTTCTTAATATATCTTTAAATGTCACAGAAATCTAATTATGAGATGAAGTTTTAGCTTTTTTATTTTAGTTTTCCATATTATCATAAAAGACTAGCACTAAATTCTGATTGAACTGCATGAAATATTTATAAATTTGCATCATTGGTAATCAGACACATTATAATTTATATAATATATATATAGATCTATATATACTCACATACACATATATCTACTTTGAGGTATGTTTAGTTTTCTGGCTGATTTTTAAATTTTTAATGTTTAAAAAGTACATAATTATAATTTTATGAAGAACTGATAATTTTTATTTATATAGTTATTTGTTTCTTGTCCTATTTATCTTAAAATTAGCCATTTGTAATAAAACAAAGTTATCTTCACTCAAAATTAAATTGCTAAACAATGAAGTTTATCTTGGTCTGGTTTAAAACCTGTCCCTGGGCATAAAAAGACAAAACCAGGAGCTGGGGTTGTGGCTCAGCAGTAGAGTACTTGCCTAGCATGCGTGAGGCACTGAGTTCGATCCTCAGCGCCACATAAAAATAAATAAAATAAAGGTATTTTGTGTCCAACTATAACTTAAAAAAAAGAAGAAGAAAAGAAAAAAGTAAAAAAAAAAAAAGAGAGAGAGAGAGACCTTATGTATTTAGCACATACAAAGCCCTGGGGGTTTCAATTCCCAGCACTACAAAAAAAAAAAAAAAAAAGAGTGGAAGTTTTGTTTCATTACATTCCTTGAATTACTTTTTAATATTTGACCCCAACTTTTTAAATCTACATTTTTTAAAAAGCTCGTCTTGGGGCTGGGGATGTGGCTCAAGCGGTAGGACGCTTGCCTAGCATGCGTGCGGCCCGGGTTCGATCCTCAGCACCACATACAAACAAAGATGTTGTGTCTGCCGAAAACTAAAAAATAAATATTTAAAAATTCTCTCTCTCTCTCTCTTAAAAAAAAAAAAAAAAGCTCGTCTTGTGTTGAAGGATTAATATTTTAGATTTTTTCTTATTATGTTTCATATACCCCCTGTCAGCATAAGCCTTTTTATTGATATGTTAGTATGGTTAAAATGTTTCCTGTTTTTTGTTGTTGTTTTTAAGGTTCATCAGCAAACTAAAGAGCATAATAATATCCTAGCTGATTACATAAAGCATTAGAAACAGTGTATATGGTTTTGATTAAGTAATATATTCATTTCATGTAACTCAATGAAAGCTTTTCTGTTTCCCCTGTCCTTTCACAACTGTTCCAAACAAAATATTACTGACTTCTAGAAGGTGTATTTTTTCAAGTCCTTTGATAATTTTATTAATTGGATTCTTTGTTCAAGGGGTGGGGGTTACTGGGGATTGAATCCAGGGACACTAACCAGTGAGCCACAACCTCAGCCCTTTTTATTTTTTATTTTGAGACATGTCTAGATAAGTTTTTCAGGCTGGCTTTGAACTTGCAATCCTCCTACCTCATCCTCCCAAGATGCTGGGATTACAGGCATGCATATCATGCTGGGCTTTTGTCTTATTTTTGAGATATAAAAATTCTTTATTCTGGATATGAAACCCTTATCACATATATGATTTGCAAATATTTGCAAATATTTTCTCCTATTTTTACATTCTTGATAATATTCTTTGATGGGCAAATGTTTATTTTTATGAAGTCTGATTTATATATGTTCTCTTCTATTGTTTTTTCTCTTGGTGTCAAATCTAAGAATTCACTGCAAAATCTAGGGCCAAGAATACATACTTCTGTGCTTTCTTCTAATAATTATATAGTTTTAGTTATATTAATTAGATCATTTGTCCACTTTGTGTTAATTTTTATATAGAGAGTAAGGATACAGGTTTATTCTTTTTAATATTAGCTATCCAGTTGTTGTTTCTGTATTCAACAGAAATAAATTTTTCCCTGTTGAGTTCTTGCCACTTTTTTCAAAAATCAGTTTGCTATATATTGTTTATTTCTGGACTTTCAGTTTGTTACATTGGTCTGTATATCTATCCTTGTGCTACTCCTATACTTTCTTGATTGCTGTAGTTGTTAGTTAGTTTTAAAATTAGGAAGTATGAATTTCTCCAATTTTTTCTTTCTTTCAATATTGTTTGGGTGAGGATTCTTCAGTTCTGTATAAATTTAAAGCTCAACTTTGCATTTTTGCAAAATGGATCATTGGACATTTCCAAAGCAAAGGGGGGGGGGTGTGCAAATTTTTCACTTGATTAAATTTATTCCTGGTTATTTATTCTTTTGGGTGATACTGTATATGACGTTGGGTTCATAATCTCCTTTTCAGGTTATTCATTGCTGGTGTATAAGAAATATAATAGATATTTGTGTATTATAAGATTCACACACTTTGAAGATTTGCTGAATTTTTTATCTACTCTAGAGGTTTTTATGGTGGTTTGTTTCAAAAGGATTTTGTGGTGTTTTCTATATGTAGAATTATGGTATCTACAAACAGATCCTTTTACTTGTTTCTTTTTCAATTTGAATAGCTTTTTTTCCCCCTTGCTTTTTATTGTACCAGTACATTGTTGAATAGCCTTGATTTCGGAAAGCAGATATCCTTTTCTCATTCTGATCTGAGGGGAGGAATACTTTTTGTGTGGGGGGGGGGGTTGTTTTTTTTTTTTAACCATTCAGTATGATGTTAGTTCTAGAATTTTTATAAATGCCTTTATGGAATTAAGGAAGTTCCCTTCTTTTCCTGGTTTATTGATTGTTTTTGTCATGGAAAAGGCTTTGAATTTTGCCACATGCTTTTTCAGGATCTGTTGAGAAGTTAATAATATTTTGATTAAATCTTATTATGTTGAGCCACCTTTGCATTGTTGGGATATCCATGTAATCAAGATTTATAAATTTTTTATATGCTTTTGGATTTGATGTTAGTATTTTGTTGATCCACTTTGATTATATGTAAGAGATATGTATATGTAAGAGATACTGATTTATAGTTGTTGGATTTTTGACTAGCTTTGTTATAAGGTTTAGATTATCTTCATAGGATGTGGAGGAATTGTTCTGTCCTCTTCCAGTTTTATCAGTTTGAGTAGAATTGGTGTTACTACTTCTTGGAATGGTTTTTGAAAGTCACCACTGAAGCCATCTGATCAGACTGACTTTGTTGGGAAAGCTGATCATTGATTTGATCTATTTACTTCATTTCTCCCCTGCCCCTTAACATTTAATCATTCGTTTTGTTTTACATGCTTTTTTCCTCCTGCCTTTGTGTTAGAAACACACACCAATCATATTCTCAGGTGACTTTTTTTCCTAACTTTAAAACCCTCAAATAATAATATCTTGGGAAAATAGACTGTACATAGGAAATATTTTGGAAGTTTGTTACAAGAGTAAGGAAGTTAAATAAAAATAGTTATACAATCATGTAAATATTTCTAAAGAGATTTGCTATCTCTAAAGACATTTCATTAGAAATTGTTTCACTCATAAGATTAATATTAATATGCTAGAGGGCTTTCCTACTGACTGTAAAATTCAAAGGGTAACTTGGGACTTCAGAGGCAGGAGATCCTTCAAGTAGAGAAAAATAGATTTGTTATTAAAATTGCAAAACCCAAATGAATTGCAACTAATGTTATTTACTTAAATAAAGTGCAAAATCCTAATAATCCCATTAATTAATTCTAAAAGTCTTAGAAAATATATAATAGGATTATCACACTGATTTCTTCTGTAATTATCAGAGGGCAGTCAGTTTTGTATTTCACTTCTGTACACGCTATTGATTACTATCCAGATGGGAAAAACTCATTTTAAAATATTTAAGATTCTTATTACCTCTAAATGTGGACATACAACTTTTCATATGTGAGAGAAAAAATTACCTTTGGATCTAATGTTACCATTAGAGTATTATTGTTATTGTTTAATATTACATGGGGCATTAAATCTAATAGGCTTAAGGATTTTTGTCATTAAAAAGGATTTAGATATATCTTAAATAGATATTAAAAAGGATCAGATATATCTTACATTGCTCTAGTTTCAATATGTTTCTTTTATATTTAATGTCACAGAGGCATTTTTAAAACACTTATCAGTTGTCTTGAAGAAAATTCAGGGACCATTTTTTAATTGTTGCATCAGAATTGTAAGAAAAGTTTTTAAAAGATGTTAGAGGGAGCTGGGGCCGTAGCTCAGTGGTAGAGCACTTGCCTTACATGTGTGAGGCACTGGGTTTGATCCTCAGCACCATAAATAAATAAATAAATAAATAAATAAATAAATAAATAAATAAATAAATATCGTGGCTCAGCAGTAGATTGTTTGGTTCGATCCTCAGCACCATAAATATATATATATATATATCGTGGCTCAGCAGTAGATTGTTTGGCTAGCGCATGTGAGGCCCTGGGTTCAATCCTCAGCACCACATAAAAATAAAATAAAGATATTGTGTCCAATTACAACTAAAAAAATAAATATTAAAAAAAATTTTAAAAAGATGATAGATTGTTTCTAATGGAGAAACGAAACCAAAGGAAACGGATTGATTCAAATCCATAAATTTATAAATAGAGTGAAAATGATAAAAATGGATTGTTGAGAAGGGCTTTGGTAAGTGCTGTGTTGAGGAGGCTTTTTGAGGCCAACTTTAATTTCATAAGGAAAAATTAACAGCAATAGATTAAGAAAATTGCTGCATGTGTTTGAAATATTTCTCATTTCTACACTAATCTTAATTCCTACATGTTTCACTTGAGGAAACTAAGAAGTTTTTGCATTTCCTTACATTCTCAGGTTCTAAGTAGTGTACCAAGACAGAAGCTCTTCTAGTTCTTGGGCCAGTGATCTCAGTTTTGCACATGTGTAGCCATATTCCAGTTACAAGATTGTCGGTATTAACACAGGACACTAAACCTTCCTTTTGATTAAGGATTACTGAGCCTCATGATAAAATAAAATGTAAGAYGTACAGAATAAACAACAACAAAATTATTTTGTTATGCTTATTTTTTAGATAAAGCTAAAACACTACTACTACATGTTTTAAACTGTGTATGTGCAATTATAGTAAATATATTTTATTTATAATTTTATCTTTAAAGAATAATGAACTAGGGGAGAATGAAAAAAATATTTTAAGTATACATGTAGGGATAATATGAAAGTAGAGAGATTAGGAGGAAACAAGAAAATTATCAGGAGAGAAAGATCTGACATAAAGAGTAAATATAAGTAAAACTTTTACATCCCTTTTGATTTTCAGGCATCAGAATAATTTCTCCTTTAGTTGGTGCTTCCAGAATAACTCCTTTTCATCCTTAAGGTTAATACTCTAACCACACCCTTTTAATACTTTGTGTTAGTTCTCTCATTAGTGACATTGGGTCTTAGCAGCCTAAATGGAATAAACTAAGAATAGTCCTTGGTATTAATGGTCTTAGCCCTGATATTRTTAAACTTACAGATCAGACAAAATATTTAATATGTTATAAAAGTTTTATTTTACCCTACAATATCAGGACTAATCCAGCAAGCATCACATTAAGTGTCTAGTGAAAATATTAAGTGGTGGTAGTTGTTGTTTGTGGGGTGTTTGTTGGTTGGTTGGTTGGTTGGTAGGTACTGGGAGTTGAACCCAGGGATTATTTAACCACTGAGCCACATCCTAGCCCTTTTTATATTTTATTTACAGACAGGGTCTTGCTGAGTTGCTTAGGGCCTTACTAGTTGGTGAGGCTGGCTTTGGACTTGTGATCTTCCTGCCTTAGCCTCCAAGCCACTGGGATTGCAGGTGTGCACCTCCACACCCAGCAAAAATATTAGTTTTAACATATCCATATACTCTTCCTCATTTCAGTCCAAAATTATTTTCCCTATTTTTTTTTCCTCTTTTCAGTTACTTTGTAATCTGGAACCTACAAAGGCTTACAAATAGGAAGATTGAAAATGACAAAACAATAGTTTTCAATTTCTTCTACTACTCGTGTATSTCCTCTTTTGTACCATAAATTTAAGATTTAAACCATATAGTTATAACATAATATATAAAGGCTTCAGAAACAATGGAAAGGGCCTTGTTGTCATGCCTTTAGGATTAATAATCAACTTGAAAAATTATATCATCTATCTAAGCAAGCATCTTCAAAATGAGGAAATACTTCTTAAAGTAAATACTTCTTTTTTTTTTTTTATTGTTGGTCGTTCAAAACATTACATAGCATTACATAGTTCCTCTTACATCATATTTCACAGTTTGATTCAAATGAGTTATGAACTCCCAATTTTANCAGCTCTCCTCTTAAGGAAGTTATGCTAGAAGTTCCTCCGTAGCTAGGCTGCAGCTGTTTCGATGAGTCTTTCATATCCCGTTAAAGTGGAGACGTTGGAGTCGCTGCTTCCTCGCCGCCGCCATGTTGGATCCTCGTAAATACTTCTTAAAGTATAAACTTTTATCATATTTTTCTTGGGTTTATATCATTCTCTCCTTAGTACATTATAGTGTTTACTTTAAAATAGCTTCAAAGTATTATTTTTAGAGTATTTGTTTCTAAAAATATTTTATCACTTTTGGACTTTTATCCCCATTAGATTTGAAAATCCACTCCAAAATTAAAAGTATTAATACACTTTAATGTATTCAGTGTTCAGAATTTTATCTTAATTTAATTAAAATATGAAATAACCTTAGTTTCAAATATTTGTGTGAAAGAGAGAAGTAAACTTTTGGCTATTACATTCTTACAAAAATGTTGAATTTACCTCTGCATGTTGAACATATGGTACAATGTACAAAATATGTTTAAAAATTTATAGTTTAACTTATTTCTACTGATATTCTGTGCTATTAAATGCTGAGAAGATTTAACAACCTGTGGAGGTGTTTTGTTTTGATTTTTGTTTTTTCCTGTGCTAGGTATGGAACCAGAGCCTCTAGCATGCTAGGCAAGCACTCTGCCCCTGAGCCAGCTACCCCTCCAACTCAGAAATGATGTTTATAATTAGCCATTGGATTAGATGTGAAGGKTTTAAAATTGTTAGATTCTATTTAATCCTAAGGAAGATACATTATATTTGTGGATGCAGGGAGGGTTGTTTTTATTTTCTGTTATCTTTTTAAGTTTTGAAATATAGTGAATTTCTGCAAGTTTCACTTAAAAACAGTTTCACAATTAAAATTACTATATCTGCTAGTCAAATGATGGAAAGTTATTTAGTGTAAAGTACTAGTGGAACCTTGGGAATTACTGGATAAAATAACAAGGTTAGTTGACTCTTATGTAACTTTATTACATTATTATTTATGCTTTCCAAAACCAGCATAAGTATGTTTTAATGTTTTCAGTGTTTCAAATTATCAAACTTAGAAAATTAAAATTTACTCTTTTTTATGTTGATGTTTAAACATCCTTTAAGAACATTTTGCAGTGTATTTTCATTTTGAAATTTTCCACCTTCATATTTCTTCAGGAGTTGATTCCCCTCATATTGTGTACAGCATGTCTACATCCTGAGCCTAAAGAGAGAGATCAGCTTCTCCACATACTTTTCAATTTGATCAAGAGACCAGATGATGAGCAAAGGTGGGTGTGACTACTTCTTTGGGAAATAAATACAGTATTGATCTATTCACTTTTCTAATTTTTCAACAAGATGTGCATTTTAATCTAAATGCCTTTTTTCCTTCCCTCTATCTGTTCTAGTGGCATTGGAGCTTTCACTATCCTGGTATCACTCATTGATAGTTTCAAATTCTAAAAAATGCATTTCAAAGCATAATGTCCAATATCAAGTTACCTTCCCTTCCCATTTTCTTTTTTAAGGAAACCTGGAATTTATGACAACAAACAAAAAGATAATGCAGAATTCTCTGAGAAATTTATCCTACGTATAATAAATAAAACCTAAAGCAAAAATAACTTTTTAAAGTTAAAGTTTCTAAAAGTCACTAGACAGGTACAGGTTCTGATGGATATTATCTAAATTATCTTGTATTTTTGAGGACTAATTCACATTGAAATTGTTCTAAATTTTAGTGAAATTTTATTTTAAAAATATAAATGTTTATTTTAAAAATATAAATATTTTCCCTTGAACACTGCAGGATATTTATTTTTTTTATCTGAAAATTCTGTCTTCTACTAAAACACTTTGCTGTTTTCTAGAAGAGTTTCCTAGTAGTTAGTGATTAGATTATTCTCTAAACCCTCAGTATAAGGAAAAGGGAGCAAACAGGCATGAGGGTCTTAATAGAGGCCTTACAAGTGGTATAGATAAGTTGCATATTGCCCAGAAAACTACTGTTCTTTTTTCCCCTCCAAATGCAACAAGCCATAGTTAGGTGACATAGCATAAAATTGAACATACCCAATGATCTCTCAGGCATTGTAATGTTCCACAGATAGAAAACTAACCTTCCTCCAGGAAAGAGATTTTCAAAGAAGCCTGACTTTATCTGCCTACATATGTTCTTGGCAATGTTTTTAATGAGTACTAAGACCTATAAAAGCAAGCAATAAAACCTTTATAGATTCTAAGCTACTTATGATAAGGAAATGCCCTCAACGGAAAGCAAGGTTTGCGTTTGTTTTCTTTTGTTTTGGGTTTAAGGTTGACATTTCTTTGTTTCCAGTTTGGAATTTGCTAGGAAGACATGAAAATGTATTTTTAAAAACTAAGATATAAATACTAAGCATTTGTGAGAAAAAAGTTTAACAGACAACCATTTAAAGGATCTTAGAAATTTTTCTGTTACTCAGGTATCACTGAGTGAGGCTGGATTAAGGAGACCAATCTAAGATCCTTAGTTTTTATTTTGATGAAAGTATTTTTTATTTGAGTGAAAGGTAGAAGGGCCTCAGTCATTTGTTCTTTTATGTAAGGCAGCCTGTTACTTCTACCTTCCTTTATTGTCCAGACCTCTTTATCTAATCAGATTAATATTTCCAATAAACATGAAATATAAGGAAATRGACAGAGGGTGCCTTTCATCCTGGAATATATGGTCTTTTGCAAAACCCTAAAAGCCAGGTAAAGACCAGAAATTGCCCTAGAAGTACACAGCAGGTGTTAATTATTCATACATTATATTTGGTTGAATAAAAGCTCCAGATTATCTCATCTTTTACAATATRAATTCCCATCCTTGTCAAGAAATACAGATATTGAGAAAAGAGAAAAGCAAACCTAGATTCTGCAGAACCAAATTAAATTATCTTGTTTCATGTACCTGAGCTATCTTGGGAGTAAAGCTGTTAGTTATACTCTCTCCCTCCCTTTCAAAATAAACTGGAGCTGGATCAATTTCTTTTAAAGATTAGTAAACAGAATTGACATGAGCCCTATAAAGTTCTATATAATGAAAATAGCAATTCTTCTAAAAATTCAGATTAAAAGCATTTCCTGAAAATTGATTACAAAAAAGAAACATTATTTGGAATCCTAAAACTCTAGAGGCAAGAGCTCATGGTTGTTATAAAACAGGAGACGGGAACAAAAAGAAATGGAAAAGACTGTTTAAAGAATAAGAGAAGATAACAAGGAGAAAAAATATACAATATTTTCAAATTTACATTGAAGAAAAATTAATAGACTGGACATTACTGAAAATTGAATCCGTGTTATAAATCATAAATTTCAAATTATTGGTATACCGCTATATCCACTGGCCACTTGAAGGGTTGAAGAATTGTTTGCCCAAATGTCCATGGTTTTAGTAATTTCCAGGAACTCTTCAACACTTGCTATTTATTCATGATGATGGACAAAATGTAATGTATATGTTCCTAAGATATTATGCCTTATTTTTCTGTAAAATGTTTTGGAAAACTGCCTTTACAAGGCATGAGTTATATTATATCAATAGATTAATAGCCTTGAAAGCATGTTGACATGAACTACTGCTTCATCCGATAGAAGTTTATAAAAATGCATGCATAAAGCTTAAATTTTCCTTCATAAACTTCTGTACAGCCATTTAAAATTTTCCCTTATAATGACATTTTCACAAACTTAACCACCATAGATTTTATCCAAGTCTTTCTGTTTTTAAATGAGCAAGTTTGTTAATCCTCTGAAATATGTCTGCAGTCACTACCTCAATAGTGAGATCCTAGTTCCTCTTTAATTATGAATGAAGTTTGAAGGTACATGTAAATTAACAGTAAACATTTCTTGTATTTTTTTAATTAACAGAAGAAACACTTGTTCCATTCACAAGGTTCTACAGTGTTTTCATTCTTATTCTAATTCTCATTTTGAATTTGTACACTTTTGTATTAATTACCTATGGACTTCTAATTTGAATATTTCTTTGCCTTCATTTTTCATGCTCAATTTCTCCCAGGCATCTCACAGATGAACCTGGTAGAACATGATCATAATAGTTATGCTTTATAAGAAATAACATGAATTTCTGTGTCATAGAGTTATCCATAAACCATTTACATTTTGTCTAGAAGGATAGTGTTTTGYTTTGATTATTCTTGAGACCATTTGCTCATATGGAAAGACAGGTCTGAGTGATGAGTTATCCTTAAGYTAGTGAGAGGGAAGGGCACAGATCACAATGATTCATCAGAATAAAAAGACATGAGTTTTGATCAAGCAACAATAGATATCTACTTCAGAGAGTAAAAACCTTTAAATATTAAGGAAAGTTGTGCAAATGAGGGCTTGCACAAATATTTTTTTAATTATGGTTGGACACAACACCTTTGTTTTATTTATTTATTTTTATGTGGTACTGAGGATCAAACCCAGGGCCTTGCACACTCTAGGCAAGCACTCTACTGCTRAGCCATAACCCCAGCCCTCTTAATGAGAAAAWACTGCTTTTTTGTTTATAATAATAAACAAATTGTATCATTTGGTAGGTTTATGCACCTTTAGGACTAGGTTTTTGGACTTAAAATTTTTATGTCTTCTGAGAATTTGAGAGAATCATGAATAAGTGAACCATGAGACAAATCAAGCTCAAAATTTAAAATACAAGGAACTCTTCAACATCGAGTACAGAAACAGTCTTGTTGACTTTGAAACTCTTATAGTAGATATCTCTCCTGCTCTTAAAATATGTGAGAACAAGTGGAGAGGGTCAAGTATAATTTATACCAGCAGCCTTCACATGCTAGTCAAGTAAGAATAAGATAAATTAAATCACCATATTAGTATCAATCATTGTTATCTGAAATTTTTCTAAGAACAGTTTGGTGGTACTGTATAGGAAAATTAGAATTTTATTTTTTCCTTGAAAAATATCATTCTCTAGCTTGGTAAATGCGCCTATTATGCCCTAGTGTCCCATATGTAGGACAACTATAAAAACTTTAACAGGGCAAATAGTTTGTCTTTTTTTTTTTTCCTAATATTTTATTAGTTGTTGGTGGACCTTTATTTATTTTTATGTGGTGCTGAGAATCAAACCCAGTGCCTCACACATGCTAGGCAAAGCTCTACCACTGAGCTACAACCCCAGTAAATAGTTTGTCTTAATGCAAGGACATAATGATGTATATATGTAATTATGTATATATGTAATGAAATACATATATTACGTTTTTATTCCTAGATTTTCAAGGCAAAAACCCAAGTCTTTAGAGTCCATTTTTAGACTTTGCATGTAAAATTTATAGGTGCCACCTAGTGGCCAAAAGTACAAGCTACATCAGGAATTAAGCACTAATTTCCATTCTTTATCTGCTTTCACCTTTCAGAAATATGACTGTTTACTAAAATAGACTAATAAATTAACAATGACCTCTCTAAAACAAATAACAAATAAACAAAGCAAAAAATATAAGATAGCATAGTATATTTGACATGATCTGTTGTTATTTTTCATTAATGACTCTTAGGCTTCTTTGATAGTATCCTAAGAAAAATTTTTATGTTAAATATGCTTTTGCCAATTCTTGTTTTTTTATCTTTATTTTATTTTATTTTTTATACCTTTATTTTATGTACTTATTTTTACGTGGTGCTGAGGATTGAACCCAGTGCCTTACACGTGCTAGGCAAGTACACTACCACTGAGATACAACCCCAGCCCCTTGCCAATTCTTTTTTAACAACTATAACTGACGCCATATTTCTTCTACCTGTGTTATTTACTAATCATGCAATCTTGGTTTTCTTTGTCATAGGGGGCTATTTTCTTCTAGTGCTATTAGTGATCTGTAGGCTATCTGACCTCTTCTATTTTAACTATATTTCAAAACTAAAATATTTTCTAGAATGTTGAATGTTTACTTTGYTAAGAAGTTTGTTTTGAAGGACCTAATGTTTTTTCCTATTGAGATTTATGTGTATTTATGATAGTGATGATTTGAAGTCTCTAATAAGTATTCAACATACTTAAATCCTAAGAAAATTGATTACAGCCACGCGGGGTGGCACACCTATAATCCCAGCGACCCAGGAGGCTGAGGCAAGAAGATAGTGAGTTCAAAGCAGCCTCAGCCACTTTAATGAGACCCTGTCTCAAAACATTTTTAAAAGGCTGGAGATGTGGCTTGGTGGTTAAACACCTTGATTTCAATCCTTTGTACCAAAAAAAAAAAAAAAAAGAAAGAAAAGAAAAATAAAATTGTTTAAATTATCAAATATTTCTGAAACATACATTACATATATATAGTGGGGGAAATATTGGTCATATATTAGGAAATTTTCATGAAGGAGTAGGCATCTAAAGTGGCTTGAAATTTTCTTGTCACATTTTCTTTCTATTCACTTCAATTTATTTGCCCTCCTAAAGTGGAAGGGAATAAAAAAGTTAAAAAAGCATATATATAGAGAGAGAAATAGACACATCAGGTATTATAAGTATTAAGGAGAAGCATGTAAATAAAAGTAACAAGGATTAGGCTGCAAGTGTAGCTCACTGGTGTTTGAAGGCCCTGAGTTTAGTCTCCACCACTGGAGGTGGAGGGGTGGGTTGCAGGCATTGTGGTAAATGAGTAGCTGTTTCAGTATACAACAAAGATTTAGGAGTAACTCTTTTTAATTCTTGGTCCTGTTTGTGTTTTCTAATGTAAATACAAGGTTGTTGGTTTTGTTATTGTTTTTGTTTTGTACTATTTTTCAGGCAAATGATACTGACAGGTTGTGTGGCATTTGCACGTCATGTTGGACCAACACGTGTAGAGGCTGAACTCTTACCACAGTGTTGGGAGCAGGTAAATTAACTATACTAGATTTGCCTTAGCTGTTATATTCTAATTTCTTATAAAGGTTTATGTTGTTTTTAAATGCCATTAGGAAATTTATGGAATGTAAATTATGCAGCTATTTCTATATCTCAACATAGTGATTTACAATTGCTAAAGGATGCTCTGCAATATTTTCCTTTATGCACTCATTCAACAAATACTTATGAAACACTAATTTCAGTGCTAAGTATTTGTGTAGTGACTAGGGATATAGTGGTGAACAGAAGAGACATCCTAGTGGGAGATTAGAGTTAACAAATAATATGCTATCTTGTAGTGAATATACCATGAAGAATGATAAAACAGAAGAAGGGTTAGATAAACATGAAAAATGCTTTCCTAGAATGGACGGTAAGAGAAGGGATCTCTGAGAAAGTGATGGTTAAGCAAGAATCTGAATGAAGTAAGATGAAAGAAGTACAAAGGGCCTGAGATGGGAATATGCTTGATGCATTCAAGGACAAACAAAAAGAAAATGTGTGTGTGTGTGTGTGTGTGTGTAAATAGAAATGTATCTTGTATATACTGTATACTTGTATATAATATAGATACATTTGTATAAAGAGTAGACCTTTTATATGGGAGGTTTTTGTATTTATAATTTAACTCATTATTTTATTAGCGGTACTTTAATTTTGTATTGAATTTTGGCATTTCCATTCTACTTTAGAACCTGGAATTACTGACTTTTTAGATGATGTTTAGATCATTAAGCACCTTATTTTTCCACCTTAAAAAAAGATAGATTTCTCATTTACGGAGACAGATTTTATGGCCTTGTTTACAAGAGTACAGTGAGTTTCTTAAGAAAAATAATGATCTCTGGAATATCACTAATGTATGTAGTCATTTAGAGCTCTAGTCCTAATTTCTTTGGTCATTTTTTCCCCCCATTAAATATGGTAGATCCACTAGGTTCAGTATGTTAAGTGAACAAAACATATAGCAATAATTACCTCTAACAGTGTCATATATCTATATATTATAGTGAATACTAATATAGGCTGAGGTCTAATCAAAGTCAAAATTAACTTGGATATATAATATATGCAACTRTGAATTTATAATTATATATACAGTTATAAATGTGTACATTTTAACAGTTTTTATTGTTTTCTTTTTTTTGAGAGAGAGAATTTTTCAATATTTGTTTTTTAGTTTTCGGTGGACATAACATCTTTATGTTATTTTTATGTGGTGCTGAGRATCGATCCCAGTGCCCCGCGCAAGCCAAGCGAGCGTGCTACCACTTAAGCCACATCCCCAGCCCAACACAGTTTTTTAAAGTTAATTCTAATAACATATAGCTAGCCCATTAAAGTATACAGATTAGTGGTTTTTGTATATTCACAGTTATATATTCACCACCACAGTCAATTTTAAAATACTTTTATTACCCTAAAACAAACACTGACCCCTGAATTTGGTTCTCAGTGAGGACTATTTTATGGTTTCCTTAGAATTCCATATGAATTTTAGGATTAACTTGTAGATTTTTACAAAGAGCCTAKCTGGAACTTTTATAAGAAACTCATTGAATCTATAAATTAATCTGGAAAGTATTTCCATTCTAGTAAGTCTTCTAGCCTATGAATTAAGGTAATCTTTTTATTTATTTGGGTCTTTTAAATTTTCTTTCAATAATGGCTTGTAGTTTTCAAAATGTAGTTCTTTTTTAAATTTATTCCTAAGTATTTTATTATTTTTGTTACTATTATAAAAAGAATTATTTTCTTAATTCTATTTTCAGTTTGTTCATTTCTAATATTGTAAATTACAATTGATTTTCGTATGTTCATTTAACTTGGAGACAAAAACAAATTGAAACTTTATATGTACCATATTCTGACATTCAAAGCATTCTTGTTTTTGAGGTAACTGTATCTGGATTAAATTTAATTTAGACATRTCAGTTATAAACATCTCTACCACCACCTCTTCTGTAACATGAATAAACATGGATATCAGGGATCTGTCTAGCCATCTACCTCAAGTTTGTTGCCCAGTAGATTACTATATAATTTCTTTTCTTAATTTTAGGCATCCAATACATTATTGAATTATGTCACCTTTTCATATGGGAATATGAGAACAGATATACTTCTTTTCCAGTCAAAGAAAGATTTATATTCTATGAAGAAGACATACGGGAACAAAACCCAGTATGTGTCCTTTCTTTTGTTATTTTTTTGTTATGGTTCAGTGTAGTCATAACAATAGCAAAACCCCATCAGTTTGCATATGCAAACAAAAAATAAAGTCTTCTTCCTKTAAAAAGAAAATCATGATTCTAGTCCATCTGGTTAAATCATTGATTAACTTATGTCCTAACTCTTTAGCTAAAAAGACTGGCATATATTATGGACCATATCTATATGATCTAGAAGCTGGATTTTGCAGATTAAAAAACTATGAYGCTATTGCTAGAGAAAGGTTCTGATTTCTCCTGACATCCTAAGGAAAGTCTAGTCTTAGGGAAACACATAATTTCTAGACACCTTGCCAAATTTTCATCTTTGRTTTTCCCTTTTTTCTTTAACAGATGACCCCTGTGACCTCATGTTTAGGCTCTCCTTGATTCCCTTATTCCTGATCCAGGTATAGCCACACAGGGATTCCCAGAAGTGGAAAAGGAAGAAGCTTGATTGCGTTCTTAACAGGATTTGTGGTGAAAAGTAATTCTCTGTTGGAAGAAGAGAGGGTATGTTATTTATGCTTGATTTATTTATTTTTTGCTCTAGATTAATCACAAATACCCAGAAAGACGACTACTTGTGGCGGAATCCTGTGGAGCATTGGCACCTTACCTTCCTGTAAGAATTGTCACTGTTTTTTTAAAAAGTCTTTTCTTTTATAATAATAGAGAAATATACTTTCAAGTGTCTTGAACATTTTAATCCAAATTCTTTTAGGCATGCTGTCTTAAAAAGAGAAGGAAACAAAAATGGAAAGGCCTATATTAATATTGTGTGGTGGACAGATAGGTATATTACTGCTGGTTTTGCATGAGTATAAATATATTAAACTGTATTACCAGAGTGGGCTGGGAAACCTGGATACCTAATCCTTTCAAAAAGAGGATCATGAAATGAAACTATTTTCATCATAATAAAACTTTTCTTAAAAATTTTTATCACATGTTGACGTTTATAGTGTTGGTACCAAAGCAGTATTGGGCAAAAAATGTTCATGCATCAGCACTATCAAAACACCGCTCCCCCAAATGTATACTAATAATGATTGTATTCTTCACGGCCATACTTTGGCACAATAAGCCAATTTCACTTAAAAGGGAGCTGCTCAATCAGTAAAATTATTTTTACTAAATTTTGAACCTTTCCTCTTTAATACTCTATAAGACAAATACAGGGTATTTGTAGAAAACCCATTTACTGTGTACTGAAATCTAATAGCTGTTTCCAGAAAAGTACTTGTGAAGTTGTTTGGGCTGTGAATTCAACTAACCCCTTTTTCCCATAGGTCACCTTTTTTTTTTTTTTTTTTTTTTTGGTGGAACCACTGACAGTTAAGTTGTAGCTATTCAGACTTAGGTACGTGGCAGATATTTTCATTTTTGTGAAGTGAGCCTGTCACTTCAAGGAAAACAGTCAGATAACATTTGTTACAAATGATGAAATTGGAGCTTTTAGATGAGTTCTAGAATTTTAGAAAACTTGTGTCTGCCACTGTGAGCTTGACAACTTCTAAATATATATAGACTCTTTGATGAGATTGTGGAATTTTTTTGGTTATATAATTAAATGTGTCAGTATTTTTAAAGTCTGCATAATGTTATGGTCCAATTTTTTCCCAAATAAAGAATGAAAAGTGTAGAGACAATAAAAATCAGATTGACAATGGAATTTAATGCATAAAAAAGTGTTTGTTATCATGGAGACATTTTTATCTGAAAAGCCTTGTAATATACTTCTCTTCCTTTTTAATGACACCTTCTGTGAGGTCATCTTTTCTTTAAATGCTTCAACCAAAACAATGTATCACAAGAAACAGAGTGCAGAGCAAATAAGAGAACTGTCCTTAATCAGACATGAGAGAGGCTTGGGATAATATATAAAACATTCTTCTCACTGATTTTTGTTTTGTATTGTTTTATAAACTGTCATTTTAATGAAAATATTATTTACTATTTATTCATTTAATGAGTTCTTACTTTTTAAATTAATTGATATATTAAAATCTTTCAGTTTTAATTTCTAATCATGGTACTATAAATGAATATTACCAACCCAAACAAAAGCTACCAGAGGTTCTTACTAATTTTAAATAAATAAATGCTTTCTGCCACCAAAAATATTGCGAACCCCTGGATTGTTATGCTTTTATTGGATTTACTGCCTTCTCATAGGTCCTTGTTCCTTTAAAAGGGAACAAGGTGGCATCACAATTATTTTAATTTAAATACTTGAGATACTGTAGCCTGTATACCAAATCTAACCCATTGCTTATTTTATAAGTAAAGTTTTCTTGGAACACAGCCACACCCATTTCTTTATGTATCGATCTTTGGTTGCTTTCTTGAGAGTTTGATTGGAAGTTCAAGCAGAGGAGCACTACAGTTACTTACATACTTAGTACCAAACAAACCTCTTCTGGTGTGGCAGGGAAGCCAATCCTACATACTTCAGTGCCCAGGAACACAAGCTTTCCAGGCTTAGTCACTGAGCATATTCACACCCACATGTTCAGACCCCTGGACTGCTTTAGCTGGTCTCATGAGCTGCCATATTCAAAGGAGAAGCCAGTTGGGCTCCCTTTTCACTTTTTAGGCCTGAACCCCCTGGGCCCCATTGTCTCTAGATGAAGATCTTACCTCTGAAAGGAGAGAGAATTATGAGGAAGGGCTAGTCCTGGAGGAAAATGCCTCACTGGATAGGAAGAAGGAGCAGGAAGCTGAAAATTAAAGAACATGAGCAGATGGAATCCCAGAGGCAGCTGTCGGAGGCAGAACAGAAACTGGAGTTGACTATTGAGGAATTAGGGAGCTGCAACAGAAAAGTGAAGAAATGGAGAATCTACAGAAGCAAATTGAGTCCCCCTCCAGATTCCAGTTCTGTATGGCTACAAGAAGACACAACCCCCAGCTCTCACCCCGCAGCTCCTTTCCCAGAGTGGGCCTACATGCTCTACTCCATATATGACTATTTATCATCATTCCTGGGCCATGGGCCACCTCTTCTGCCCTACTGGCCTTTGGGACCTCAGCCATCACCCCTGCCTCCAACATTTACATAACCATTTTGAAATGTGAAGAGGACATTGAGCTATGGTATACATGCTGTGGCTGTGATGTAATTGAGAACATTGAGATCTGGGTGTTTTTCCCTGTCCAGTTCTACTCCTCTCTCTTTGATCTATCACAATGCAATTTCTAACAAACGTTTTGCAGCCATTAAGGGGGGGGGGATTGTCCTATTCTATCAGGGAAAGTCTTCTTCTCTGATGGAGCACCCCACTTTGGGAAGGGTGCACATCAGTAGTAAGGGAGGAAGGAGACTCCTGTTTCGTCAACCAGATTAGCCAAATCAACCTTAGTGATCAGTGAGAGGACATGTTGCAGCCAGCAGCTGTCATATACAAGTTTATTTCTTACTACAACTGCAAAGTTGAATAGTTACAACAGAGATCTTTTTATATTCTCAAAAACCAAAAGTATATACAATCTGGCCTTTTATAAAAAGTTTGACAACCCCTGCTTTATAGGGACATTTTTGTAAGATTGTTCTTTTAAAAGGCTACAAGAATTGTACACTAGTGCATGGGCTATTTAGTTGCATTTACTCGAAATTTCTGGGTTGTTTTTTGGGGATGTTGCTTTTTGTTTTGATTTTTTGCTTGTTTTGGGGTTTTTKGGTGGTTTTTTTKGGGGGGGATTATGAGGATCTGACCCAGGAGTGCTTTAACACTGAGCCCCTTTTATTTTTCATTTTGAGGTAAGGTCTCACTGAGTGGCTGAGGCTGGCCTCAGACTTGCAGTCCTCCTGACTAAGCCTCCAGAGTAACTGGGATTATAGGTGTGTGCCTTCACAGCCAGCTCTCTGTGCATTTTAAAAATTACTTTTTAAAATTAGTTGTCTCTGCCTCTTGCTTCTTCCATCATGTGCATTTTTTTATTTGTGACAGTTTCATATTTATCCTAACCAAAATAGCATGGATTTATAATCCTATCAATAATACATTGGAGTTCTTCATTTCTCATACCTTCACCAGAGACAGGAATGATGGATTTTTTTTTATCCTTCATTTAATGGGAGAAAACTGGTATCTTATTGTTGGGATAATAACAATAGGAACATACAAATGCTTAGATGAGTTGGACTACCCTATTATGTATTGTTCCAGATCACATGAGCATCACTTTTTTTGTAAAGGGTAAGTAAACTGTTCCACTCTTGATACTGGAATACTTAGTGGTCTTAATAGACATAATATTTCCTCACTGGATCTTGTACTGGAGCAAAAACTACAGCAGTTCCTTGGTGCAATCATGCCTTAAATAGAGGAATCCTACTGATCTGTCCCCTAGACGAGGGTCCCTATAGCATACTAAAACTTATAATCATTGTTGACTTCAGCCCAGATCAATGTAAAACTAAAGTTTGCTTACCTCCCTTTCTTGCCGTGTGCTAACGCCAACTAAGAATCCCTTTGAGATCCTTTGCATTGTTTTTAGGGCAGTTTTTAGCCTAAAAGGTAAATTCAAAGATTTTACTAAAAGGCATTTTCTAAAAGTGTTCAAAATTTTCTAAAATTTACTCTTGTTTCTAAAAATTCAAAACAAAAAACAAACCTTTAAAAAAATGTCAAGCACTGGTCTGCATACCTAATCAAGCTATAAATGTATGAAAATTGTCACCTCCTCCACCTGTAATCTTGTTTTATTCTGTTACACGCAGAACTGATCTACATTAGTTTAGGTTTAAAGAATTTTATGAATCAATCAAATTGTAATAATAGTCCAAAGTAGGGTGGGAGGGGCATGCATTTGAATTTTGATAACTCTTTATCTTAACCTCAGCCATTAATTACCCTAAAAGATTTCTTAATATAACTGGAAAAAAAAATTTGTGTGGGGGCTGGTGGTATAGCTCAGTGGCAGAGTGTTTACCCAGCATGCATGAGGCCCTGGGTTCTCTGTGCAGCACTGCAAAARAAGAAAAAAAAAGAACCTGTGTGACATCAAGACATTATGTTTGACCTTATATTAAATATTAAAATAGCAGTGCATTGCTATTCTATATTTTAATTTTTTCTTTACTTCTTCAAAACAATAAGAATGCCAGGATTTTTTATTTCTTCATCCTATCTCAGGCAGATGTTCCAATTTCCAGAGTAGTTGTCTCCTATTATAATTCTCAGCACTCTTCTCTGAATTGAAGGAATAGTGGTAAGAGAATCATGGTCCATTTGCAACAGAGTGTTGACTTTGTTGATTTGTTAAACATGTCTGATAGAATGTCCTGTAAGGATTTAAAGAATTTTTACATTTAGTAAAGGTATAAAAACATGCTGAAAGATAATGCTGAATTCATGATAGGTGTTTTTACCTCTAAAGAGAAAGGGTAGAGAGAAGGACCAGGGAGAGAACAATATTTTGGATGTGTCTATAATGTTTTATCTTTGAAAAATAAAAATTTGAAGCAAATACAGAAAAATGATAATGTCTTTTTATCTAGATTTCAAACACATAAGTGTCTGTTATTACTTCCTTTTGTGTTTTAATGGAAATAAATAGTAAAAACATTTTTTTATTTTCAGAAAGAAATTCGTAGCTCCTTGGTTCTTTCAATGTTGCAACAGATGTTAATGGAAGATAAAGCAGATTTAGTAAGAGAAGCAGTGATCAAAAGCCTTGGAATCATTATGGGATACATTGATGATCCAGACAAATATCAACAAGTATGTGTTTTTTATAATGAACCTCTTTTACCCCATTATAAAATTCCAAATAATACAATTTTGCAAATCTCTGATTCAGATACTTAATCTATAGTACGAATGATAGGTGTGTCAACTTTAATCAATTGGGAATAACTTATCAATCTTGCAACTCAGAGGAAAGACTGCTGTGATTCATTTATACTCTGTCAGCACTTTGTCGAGAAGTCAGCAACATGTATGCCATGTTTTCCATACCTTCTTTTTGGTTTGGTCATCAATAGATATGTAACATTTAAAAAAAATCAGGAGGAGGTAATATTATGAATTGCTTTGCTTTCTGTCTTGTTTAAAGCATTTTCCAAGTTTCTTAAAATCTGTGTTTCTTATTTTTATTAAGCTTTTTGGAAAGTTTATTATTTATTTATTTATTAGTTGTAGATGGACACAATATCTTTATTTTATTTTATGTGGTGCTGAGGATCGAACCCAGGGCGTCACACGTGCTAGGCAAGAGCCCTACCGCTGAGCCACAACTTCAGCTCCAAGAAAGTTATTCTTTTAAAAAATCTCCTTTTTTTTTTTTTTGTTTGTTTGTTTGTTTGTTTCTTTTGCAGGGTTTTGAATTGTTGCTGTCAGCCTTAGGCGATCCCTCAGAGAGAGTAGTTAGTGCAACACATCAAGTATTTTTACCAGCTTATGCTGCCTGGACTACAGAACTTGGAAATTTACAGTCTCATCTTATACCTACACTACTGAACAAGATTGAAAAGCTTCTTAGGGTGAGTTCTTCCATTGCTTATATAGTTTATAACAATTTAAAAGATCTGTTGTAAGCCATGTTAGGGCACTAATAATTACCACTTAGTTGAATATTTTGATACAATACCAGTTAAATATTCTCTTATACTGGACCCAAAAGAGATTTGAGGTGGTTTTGCTTTGCCAAAGCTATAAGAGAAAAAAACAGCATGGTCTCTGTTTCTCAGCTCAAAGAGCACCTTTATGGAAGTAACTCACAAACATTAATCAGAAAGCTAGCTCTATTTAACCTTCTGACAACTAAATTATTTTACAAAGCATCAGCTTCCAGTTCYAGAATACAGAGATAACTAAAATCTGAGTCTGTATGGCTTTTGTTTATATGATGTCAATATTGCTTTGCCTCTGCTTATTATTCCAATTATTGCAGTTATTCATTTCCTCACTTTGTAAAGTGAGCTTTTTCTGCTCATATTAAGAGAACTGAAGTTGGGAAGGAAAAAAAAATGATAGCAACTTCTTGACTAATTTTTGTTCTGAAAAGTTCTTTTAGATTCTAGAAGAGAAATTTAACATTTCCTGAACATCCATTACGTGCCATTAAGATAGATGCTTTAGATATAAAACTCCTTTTTCATTCTCGTAACCCTCAATTTATTTGTTTTTTATGTGGAGTCTGTGACTTGTTGTTTAAGTAACTTGCCAGTATCCCACAACTGTCACATGACAGAACCAGGATCTGATATAAGTCTATGACTCCAAATTTTCACCATTTCTGCTTCAAAATATTAAAAGACAATGCTCTTAATCATAAATCATTGCAACTTTTCAATAGATGTATCATACGTGTTCACATGTATTTATTTAATTTAAATATTGGGCTGTTCTATCTACAAATTTAAGAATGTATTTTTTAAAAACCTTAAGTAGATAACCAGACTAAAGTATACTGTTCTGTGAAACTTTTAAGGAATGTTTTTTCAAATGTTTTGCATTCTTTCTGAGAATAATTCATAATTGGTTTTTCTTGTTCCATTTTATACCACAACTAATTCCACATTACTACTAAAAAAATCTGCAATATGCAGCATAGATAGTAATTCTTCCATGAATAAATTAACTAAATTAGAACTTGATAGTAGATAATTCTTATTTCTGGTTCTGACAAGAGTTGCTATTTATTAATATGGTAATGTCATCTCAAGTGGATTTGAGCAGCAAAAATGCTTTCATCTCTGGTGATTCTTTTTTCACTTCATTTTCTGATCCCTTTAAACTTTTTTGTCATCTTTCTTCTGTTTCCTTTTGGAATATCTTCTCCTACATTTTATTTATGCATAGGATTATTTTAAAGTGCTTTTAATACTTGCAGATACAAGTATCACCAAATGTATAAAAGGACCAGAGAGGAATCAGCAAGCACTGTTGCTAATTTGGCCATTGAGTATTTAAAATTATTCCTCTAGCTCACTTTAATTTCTTTACCCTAACTTATAAATTTTCACAAAATAAGACCCTCCCTAAATAAAAAGAGAACCTATACAAAATGTCCCAACTTTGGAAATGACTGTTGTGTTTACCCTTAATGTTTCCATATGAAACACTATTACTTCTGCAATGCCTTATTTTGAATGGACATCTCCATTAAGTGTTATGTTTTGAATCCAACATACAGGTCCTTAAGTGTTTTATTTGCCTCAGAAAGGAAAAACATCATAAATCAAATTAGCAATGTAATTTCAGAAAACTAAAATTAGCTTCCACCTCCTTATATTTCAGGAAGGAGAACACGGGCTGGATGAACATAAGCTCCACATGTATCTTTCTGCCTTGCAGTCTTTGATCCCATCTCTCTTTGCATTAGTGCTACAAAATGCACCTTTCTCCAGCAAAGCCAAGCTTCATGGTGAAGTGCCACAGATAGAAGGTACTGAACTTAAATTCTGAAAGGAAGATGTAAAATATTAGCAGTTTAGCTTCCCAGAGACTTGTTTTTGATGAAAATTCTAAAAGTCACTGTATAACGGCATAATTACTAAAATGTATTTTATGGGTAGGATTTTGTCTTTGTAGACTATATGTCTAAAGTAAGCTATATGGCTTCATCTTTTATGGATAAGCCTCATGATATTTATACTTTCTTATAGCCTTCATTGGGAGGCTAGAATAAATGCTTGTGAATAAATCTGAATCAATGAAAAAATTTACTTAATACTTACTAGTTTAGTATTTAAAGCTGGTCATTTACACTTTCTTTATGCATTTTTTCCTCCCCACTTTTTCGTTTTATTTTTAATAGGGGAAGGTAAATATTATTTTTTCCCACTCTGAGTTCTTAATAGAAAGGAATATAAGACTATGTGGCAGAATTTTCTTTTTTTCCTTGGAAGAAATATCTTATTTTCAGAAATACATGAAATTGACAGCAGAGGCCAGATAGTTCCTGTCTCACTTTCCAGGTAGCCAGTAAGTGATCTTTGATAAGTGACAACTCCACTGCACCTAAGCCCCAAGATAAATGCCCATAAAAAAGCTATTGCTATGTGTGAAATACCTTTGCAACTTTTTCAGATTTGTGCAGTTACCTATGTTACTGGCTTCTGATTTCTGATTAACAAATAATTATGAAATTGAAACATCAAGAGTTAATGTTTTCATAATTATACCTTTTCTATAAAGTAAGCGTGGGCTACCTGTAATCTTTGGAGATAAGAAGCACTATATTCCAAGGTACATGAAGCCACAGACTAAAAGTAATGTGCGCTATTCGGATGCCAGTTTTGTTTGGAAAATTAAGAGTGGATGGAGTAGATTTAGTTTGATATTTTTTAATGATATTATTGAGGATAATAAAAAATCAAACTTCATAAGATAAAGACTTTGAAGATAAGACTTTAATATAACTGGCCACTTCTGATTCTGCCATTTTACTCATTAAAGCACTTATTCTGCCTGGAGATTTTCCTGTCTTTCCAATTCCCCCTCCTCTTCTTTCTTTCTGTTTGGCTGTATTAGTTTGGTACGGCTGTATTAAGAAAGTACCATAGACTAAATTTATTATCTCATAACTCTGGAGGCTGGAAWTCTGAGATCAAAGTGTTGGCAGAGTAGGTCTTTCTGAAAACCATGAGGGAGAAGGTATCATTTGCCTCTCCCCTAGCTTCTAGCAGTTTGCAGACAGTCTTTGGTGTGTGTTAGCTTTTGGATGTATGATCTCATTTTTCTGCTGTTATCTTCAGATGGCTCACTGTCAGTATGCTTCTTTCTGTGTCCAAATTTCCCCTTTTTTTGAGAGCATCAGTCATATTGGTAAGGGGCCTACTACTTCATCCAGTATATGACCTCATCTAATGTATCTTCAATGGTACTGATTCCAAACATAAGACTACGGAGGGGTGGAGAGAACCCATTTCAACCTGTAATGCTTGTTATACTTAACAAATAGTCCTTTAATATCAGCTGTTGGGAAGTTTTTATTAGAGATTAGATAGAACAATTTCAAAACAATTTCTTTACCATTCTGAACATAGTCTTTCTAATGTTTATGTGACTTCTTGTGATTGTCATTATACCAAAAATAAACTTTTGTTTTCAGTTCTTGTTGACTTACTTTGTGGCTTTTAACAGTAGGTATAAATATTAATATTATTATATCCTTATAAGGTTATAATGTCTTCATTATAAGTAAYGATTTATTATATCTTCATTTAAGGGATAATTTATTCCTTTCACAATTTAATCAATATATGAGGCACTGTTTTGGACATTTGAAATAACCAAATTAATAATAGGTAGCATTCTCTGCCATCATAGAGTTTATATTCTTATGGCAGGGGATACATCAAAGAGTCATAACAGCTGTTGGGCAGAATCATTAAAAATAAAATGCTAGTGTTTTGCCAGCTAATTTAAATAATGTTCTGGKAATCTTTCTGTATTATCGTTATGTTAGATACTCAGTTTTTTTTTTAATCACAGTTAAATAGAACAATATTTTGAGTCTTCTGAATCATTCTAATTTTTTTAGAGGGAAAATTGTAATTTTATTTTTTTATTATTTTTATTTGTTTTACTTAATTGTACATGACAGCACCATTCTAATTTCTTGCCTATAACTTATTCACAAAATTACTTATTTTCAATCATTAGACTTATCTTTAAACCTTTAGACCCTACTCTTTTTTACCATAAATTCCAACATATCTATTTTACTTTTAATTAATTCATTTCATCATACTATAGCAGGGTTTGACAAATATAATAGAACGTGTTTGAAATTATATGAGATATGTTTTGACAAATATTAAATACAAAAATCCCTTATCCCAATCTGTTTGATTTCCGGGTTGGGGTAGTGAGGGATACCATATCATCTAAATTTCTTCCTCCTTTTCTTTCTTCCTGTTTAATGATAACAAATGGAAGAGTTTAGATAGAAAGAATAACCATTGTCTATACTTAATATATTATTATATATCTGGTGCCTCATAGGAATGCAGTAATATTTTAATGTTGTCTTGGAGCATTTTTTAAATTGCTTCAAATTTTCTTAAGTTCAATAATTATTATTAAATATGTTTTGAGAAAATGTTGCCTCGTGTGTCTTTTTAAGGTGATTGATGCCTTTGTATAGGAGTTGCCTCCAGTCCAAGTTACTGACCTACAGCTAATGAGCTGTGGGCATGAATTATTCACTTAATAGTTATCCAGGAAGTATTCCCTTAATAAACTGGGATCTGATTACTGTCTGTAGGATTATAGATGTTATTGATGTTTAAACTTTTAAAATATAATAGTATAGCCAGGCATGGGGTGGTACATGCCTATATCAGCCATTTGAGAAGCTGAGACAGGAGGATCACAGTTCAAGACCAGCCTTAGCAACTTAGCAAACCCTGTCTCAAAAATAAGAAGAGCTGGGGATAGAGCTCAGTGGTAAAGCACCTTTGTGTTCAATCCCCAGTACCCAAAGAAAATAAATGAATAAATTAAAAGTAAAATAAAATATATTAGTATGTATATGAATATGCATATGTGTAAACATATATGTGTACTTGTGTACATTCATGTTTTATTTACACAATTTTAAAAGTTTTTTAGTTTTCCCTCAAAATTGTGAAAAGCACATGATATGGAATCTTGGTTTTAATGTCCATAGTACACTGTGCTTTATCTTACCAGACCTTGACTTCAACATTTCCTACTAACTTTCTGTTTATCAAATGCTGAAAAAAAAATTTTTTTTAAAGATACAATGTTGGGGAATGAATACTGAAGAAATGCACTCAGTTCAAGCTTTAGTGTATTTTATGTTATTGTTCTTTGCTATTAAATGGTATTTTCCTACTCTTATTAGTTTCTTACTCCCTGAAGGAAACATTTTATTATTTATTATTTCATGGACATAAACAGTATAGTGGAATTATAAGTATTTTTATATTTTTAAACTAATTTCAAATTCACATTTTATGTAGGAGCCTTATCTTTGGCTCAATTTTAATTTAATCAAAATATGTTTTTATTAAACTTTCATTACAATATTCATTTATTAACTATATAGTCCCATAAAATCTCAATTTTTTGAGATTTGTTCAAGTGACAAGAATTTTTTTCATTTATTTTCCATCAATGACTTGATGAATATGTTCCAGTTTTACAGTTAAAGTTTATAATAAGCAAATTAAGTATTAGGGGAAGGACCTTATTTTTCTTTTGACTGAATAGCTAAATTCCCAAATTATTGTTTTTTGTGTAATTATTATACTTCTGTTATTTTTAGTGACTAGGTTTCCTCGCCCTATGTCACCTCTTCAAGATGTGTCTACTATTATTGGAAGTCGTGAGCAATTGGCAGTGCTCCTACAACTTTACGATTACCAGCTAGAACATGAGGGTACAACAGGCTGGGAGAGTTTGCTATGGGTGGTCAATCAATTGTAAGTTACTGTCTCCATATTTATTTCCTTTACCTAATCAGTTCAATGGAAGATAGCTCATATTTATCCTTGAAACTGAGGGACAAAATAATTTTTAAAACATAAAAAAAAAATAATTACCTTGGCATCATCAATGATAAATTTTGTTAGAAGAGATTTACCTACCCCCCAAATATATAATTAATTATCTGTGAAGAAGTTGCTTTTGTATTATATCAGAGCAACCAGTCTGCTTCCTTATTTGTGTATTAATAGTGATGGATTTTAAACCATATCCAGACTTCTAGTTTTTTTGTTTAAAATGGATGCTGTGTTAGCCAATCTCTTCTTGGATTTGAATCTCATTATCTCCGTACTCAGAACTCTACCATTAAGATTTTATATATTTTATGCCAAGCTGTTTTATCTTAAAAAGTTTTTTCAGTAGAATGTAATCTTTTTCACAAGGTTCCAAGCAATTCCTTTGTTTTCAAAAAACAAAACAACAGCCAGGCATGGTGCACACGCCTATAATCCCAGTAATTCAGGAAGCTGAGGCAGGAGGATCAAAAGTTCAAAGCCAACCTCAGCACTGTAGGAAGGCCCTAAGCAATTTAGTGAGATCCTGTCTCAAAAATTTTAAGGGGTTGGGGATGTAACTCAGTGGTTAAGTGCTCCTGGGTTCAATCCCTGGTACCAAAAAAAGAAAGAAAGAAAGAAAGAGAGTTTTTGAATTTGGATTGCATTGTTCCAGAAATTGTCAAGGAAGTAGTAATTTATATGTATCCCCTGCCTGTTTTTCTTTCTTTTCATATTCAGGTTGCCACAACTTATAGAAATAGTTGGCAAAATTAATGTTACTTCAACTGCCTGTGTCCATGAATTCTCCAGATTTTTTTGGCGCCTTTGCCGGACATTTGGCAAAATTTTTACGAACACTAAGGTAAAAACTTGAATTTCATATTTTCTTCTATGCAAAAAACATAGAAATATAATATGTTAATGCTGTAACAGTAATTGAATATAGAGTAAGAAAATGAGCCCTTCCTGATAACTTAGAATATTATGATAATAAAAGAAATTCTAGTTGATAGTAGTCTTATCTTTATTAATGTTCAGAAAATGGCTTACCTAAGTTTAGTTTGTATCCACACTAGTAAGATTTACTCACTGCAGATATCTCAAAGGTTTTCAGCATAGGAAGTATCAATTAAGGAACTCAACCCAATTCTATGAATATACTTTTTGTACTTACTACCATCTACCACAGAATCTGGAAGCAATTGTTTGTTCAGCACACTTGGATAAAAAATCTGAGGTGATTGTGGAACTGCAAAACTTTCTATTTCGAACGTGCTATAAGGATCCTACCTCTTCGGAATAGCATGGACACTTGAGATGTATTTTAATCATTACCCAAAGTATAATTTTTTACATAGGCCTATATGGGTTAATTTGTAGGTTTAGGTATTAAAGTCAAAATGTCCTAAGATCCCAATTTCTTCTTTAATACTATTACCCCATTTTTCTTTATAGCATATTGTTTAGTTGTTTGGAGATCTAATAAAAACATTAAAAGTGTATTTGTTCTAATCAAATATTAAACAAGACATTTAAAAGTCAACATTTAAATATTGCATTTATTTTAGTGCAGCTCTTTATTATTAAATCTGTAGTTGCAACGTTTAAAGCAAAAGAGTATTTAGGTTATGTTCTATTATCTGCTGACTAATGGTCTGTGACCTTTTTTTTATTAAAGGTCAAATAATCTGAGTTTAGTCTTTTCATGTGTGAAAGGAAGATGTTTCACTGTCTTTTAATTCTATAAGTATGATTTAGTAGATTAATCTTTAACAATGGTATTTCTCTCAGTTTAATTTGAAGTATATGTAAATTAATATGTTGGCCTGTTGTACTCTAATCAGAAAGCAAAAACCAGATCTTGATATTAATGTAGGAAAATCATTTTACATTTCTCATTAACATCTAATTGTCAAATATAATTTGATTTTGCTGTTATCAGTATTGGCAAAAATTGTTCAACATGTCCCAAACAAGAAGCTGTTTTTTCTTTTAGAAAACCAAGTGGGAGTCATTTTAGCACTTAACACTAATTGATTGTCTTCAGTAGTCTGGAATCTTGTGGTAATTCTAATAATAAAAAATTGAAACAAGCATTTGCTCTAACTTAATATACTTAAGTTAAATTCTTTACTTGATATTTAAATGTTAAGGAGTGCAATAAAAGATTAAGATGGATTTCACACAATAAATATGTTAGCTGTGAAAGTACCTCAAATAAATTATTTCTTTTAAACATAATCAAATGCTATTTTTTAGTAATTCTAATCAGATAATAACAATCTAAGTAAAGCTTTTTATCACTATGTTCACTTTTTAGGAGGCAGTAATTTTGAGCATTTAAAATGATTTTGGGACTTGGCGCCATGGCACACACCTGTAATCCCAGCAGCTTGGGAGGCTAAGAGAGGAAGATTTCAATTTCAAAGCCAGCCTCAGCAAAAAGCCAGGCACTAAGCATCTCAGGGGGACCCTGTCTCTAAACAAAATACAAAATAGGGTTGGAGATATGGTTCAGTGGTCAAGTGCCCCCGAGTTCCATCCCTGGTACCCCCCCAAAAAAATAATAAAAAATCATTTGGGGGCCTGGAAATGGAACTTGGTGGTAGACTACTTGCCTCACATGTGTGAGAAGGCCTTTTCTTTGATCCCAATACCACAAAAAATAATAAATGAAATTATCTTTGGAATAATTTTAATTTAAGGAATAAAACCAAAGGCCATCAGAAAATACTTGTTAACCAAAATTGATTTTTATTCTTAAAGGTGTTATTTTTAGTAACTTGATTCTTGTATTTAATATATTTCTGACTACTTAAATAGTCTATAAGCAAAATAAATTAATAATAAATAGTAGTAGCAGCAGTGGTAGTAGAAGCAGTAGTAAACATTTTATTAGTCATTAACTAATCCATTGAACTTGAGACTTTTTGGATCTTCTCTTTGGGCTGCTTAGGTCAAACCTCAATTCCAGGAGATCTTAAGACTGTCTGAAGAAAATATTGGTAAGTTCGTTCATTACTACTTCTAAAAACAATTGAATCTCTTTATTCAGAGAAAATGCTATATTTAGTATATTTAAATTATATAAACCAACAAATACAATTTGAAAATGCAAATTTTTATTATGGAAGTTCTTAGTTTTACAACTGGTTACATCTAATATATTCTTCCAATGTGTGGTGTCATGAAATTAATCTTTGTTCAGATTGATTTTAAATATCTACCTTTATTGTAACCAAATTGAACTAAGGCCGAGCTTCTCAAACTAGATACTTGTTAACTTGTGGGAAATGGTAGAAGGAAAGTATAACATGCCCCCCACACCCATTTTATCTTGTTTTTTTTAAGGTTTGGGGGCTTCTTTGTTTTGTTTTTTTCTTGTTGTTTTTGTTTGACACATGCTCCCCAAAGGTTATTTTTAATAGCTTTTTAAATGAKTGGTGTTTGAAATTCATATCTGTTAATATTACATGTTTAATTATGAACTCTGGTGATAAATTAGTGAAGAAAAAATTAAAATATTTTGGAAACTGACATTTTTTGGAATTATTAACTGAATGTTTGGTTGTTCAGATAGCTGGTGATTAGCCTCTGTGTATACAGTTCACATCTATGAATAAAATTTACACTTATGTTCCTAGCCTCAGATTTATCTCTCAACTAACTCTGTCATCTTATATCAGTACACTTCTCAAGAACAAGTTATTTTTATCAAGAATAAACAAAGCTTAATACTAAATTAATGTGAAAATGAAGCTTTCTGTTTTTTGCTAAAGTTTCTTCAGGACAGTAGATAAATACGTCTTTTCAACTCAATTTCTTTATGACTTTGAAAATAATTTAAAGTCATATAAAAATATAAATATAATAAAGAAAATTATATGAGCATTGAAGCAAATGTAAATCACGTAAAACAGTACCTGATGATCACTAAATGAGAGCTATAAGCACTGTAAATAACTCACCTCATTATCTTCTTTGGAACTTTTCTTTGAAATTGTCCACAAGTACAGTAAAAGAAATTTTTTTTATTAAAGTCACTGGGCACACCTCAGTGGCTGTTTTACTTAACCTGATTCTTCCTTGCTCCATGAAAATGATAAGGGTGCTGAAAACTCTACTGAGGGTGCAATAAGTGCTCTCCAGTTACGGTAGTACTGGAAACTAGGGAAAATCTCATATCTGAAAGCTGATTAAATAATATAGATCTAGGATCCTGCTTTTAGCTGAGTGACTCTACATTTTACAAGCATTGCAAATGGAAAGCATTAATGTTTTGGAAGAAAGACCTAGCTATATGGGTAATTGAGATACTTTTTTTTATAAGTTCTAATTTCTGATTTGGGAAATAGGAATATAACATCTCATTTTGGTTATTAAATTTCTTTACCATCTATCAGAAATTTTTACTCTAATGGTCCTTCAAGAAGCATTATGTTGTATTTTATAATAACCAGTGGAAATATGCTTTTACTACAGTGTTTTCCAAATGTGTAACCTTGCTAAAAATTTTTAAGTATTATGACTTTTTTTGTTTACATCTAAAACATACTTGGACTTTTAAAAATATTTTAATAATTTTAGATTCCTCAGCAGGAAATGGGGTCCTCACTAAAGCTACAGTCCCCATTTATGCAACAGGAGTCCTTACGTGTTATATTCAGGTAAGGGAATAATTCTTATTCTCCAACAAAAGTACCTTCAAGGAGTTGCGAGTAGAGTGCTTACCTAGCATACACAAGGCCCTGGGTTCAATCCCCAGCACCACCCAACAAATAAAAACAAAGTATCTTCAGTTTAGAAAAATACCTAGTATTATGTTTTCTCTATGTGAAGACATAAATTATAAATCTGAACCCAAAAGAAAAACAAAATTTTAAAGAATTTATAATGGAGAACATATTTAAATAATATGACTGAGTAAAATATCAGTTGAACAGTAAGTTTAGAGATTATGTGCTTTTTGATATTTTGTTAATGTTAGATTATACTTATTTAGTAGAGTTTCTTTGTGTTTCATAAGAAAATCATAAGATTTTCATAAATAAATGATAGCACATGTGTTAGGTGATACAAATTACAAAATGTTGTAGAATACTTTGTCATTGTTTTCATCACAGTACTTTTTAGTAATACTTTATTATTTTTTGTAACTACATAATATCTGCCCCAAAACGTAATACCTTGTAATTATTACAAACCATTTTATTTGTTCATTACTCTTCTATCTGGGCTTTGTTCAGCTGGCTTCTCTTCTGTTGCCTTGGTTTGGTTGCTCATAATGCTGCATTAAACTAGTCTGTTGGTAGGGTCTCAGGGAGGTTGGCTGATCCYCACAATCCATGTAGTTTTAGGGCCTCTCTTTACTCCATGGCCTCTGGAGCAGCAGAGCCAGGATTTAATACCTAGTGGCTGAAGGCTTCCCAGAGTGCAAAAGCAGAATTTGCTAGGCTAAGGCTCAGGCCTAGAATTAGTATATCACTTTTACAGTATGTTGGTTAAATAAAGTCTCAAGCCTAACCCAGATTTAGAAGACAGGAACTAAGCCAGAATGTATATTAAGAGATGTGGCTCATTGATTGCCAACAACTGAACAGACTACCTAACTATCCTTAGCATTGTTTTAAGTAAATAGCATATGATATAGCTGAAGGCATATTAGTAGGCAACTAAAAATGGGTGGAATCTCTATTGCAGCTTTGCTTTGATACTGATTTGTTACTCTCTACCTTTTCACTAAATGCACTGCTGTGTTTTTAAATTGTTATATCCTTCCTTTTTCATTTTAATCATTGATTTTTGCCAATCCTTTATCTTAACCTCGTTCAAAACTAACCTATATAGGGGGAAAAAAGATAAATAGTAACATAGTCTTTCTCATGTTTCTTTTTTAGAAAATATTGTTAGTTGTAGATGGACACAAAACCTTTTATTTTATTTATTTATTTCTATGTGGTGCTAAGGATCGAGTCGAATGCCTCACATATGCTAGGCAAATGCTCCACCACTAAGCCACAAGCCCAGCCCTTCTCATGGTTCTTTTAAGATATTTAGAAGCTCTTAATTGTTGACCTCTTATGTCTTCTGACAACTTAACTTCATTATATATTTATTTTCTGATAGAATATCGGATTCCCCTTTTTTCCAGGTCAGGTTAATATATAACATACAAAGTTTTTATTTTTTTTTATTTTTTAAACTCCCGTAATTTAGTAGGTTTGCTTTATCTAATATTTCCTTTTTTAAAAATTTTTCTAATTAGTTATACATTACAATTTTGATATACTGTAAACAAATGGAGCATAACTTCTCATTCCTCTGGCTGTATATTGTGGATAGTCACTTCAGCAGTGTATAACATTTCTTAATAAAAAATTTCCTGATTATGAAAATAATAATAACTCATTGAAGAAAGCTTTGAAAATTATAGATTTATTTTTAATCAAGGGAGAGCAGCTGTTTCTCTTCAGAACACATTAGTCTATATTTCAGTATGCAGTTTTTCTCCACTAGAATATTACAAAGATAATTTTTTGGAAATCAAATTTCTACTAGGAAGATAACTATTTTAATAGTTTATATTTAACTATGTAGCTCCAAAATTCATGGGAACTAAATTGGACAAATTTTAATAATTTTTTTTTAATGTTCTAAATCACGACCATTCAAAAGAACTTTCGCAGTGACAGAAACAATGTATATATATGTTGTCCAGTAAGGTAGGCACTAACTACATGTGGCTATTAAGCCTTTGAATTAATTATAGCTAGCGCAACTGTAAGGTACTGAATCTTTTGTTTTATTTAATCTTTCATTCAAATTTAAATAAAAATAATCACATTTGACTAGTGAATGTCATATTGACAGCACAGGTCTAAACCAAATAAGATAGCTTTTGTCCTTATGATCATACATATGCTTAAAAAGTATCTGTATTTTGTTTAAAAATAGATGGGTAGGGGCTGGGGATGTGGCTCAAGCCATGGCGTGCTCACTTGGCATGCGTGGGGCACTGGGTTCGATCCTCAGCACCACATAAAAATAAAATAAAGATGTTGAGTCCACCAAAAACTAAAAAATAAATATTGAAAAAAAAAATTCTCTCTCACTCTCTCTAAAAAAAAAAAAAAAAAAAAAAAAGATGGGTAATTATGGTTTGTAGTCCTACTTGATTGCTTGAAAATTCATCATCAATATTTTTCCTCTATAGGAAGAAGACCGAAAACTGTTGGTTGGATTCTTAGAAGATGTAATGACCCTGCTTTCACTATCTCATGCTCCTCTTGATAGCCTGAAGGCTTCTTTTGTGGAACTGGGGTAAAAAATAAATTGTAGTTTACAGTTTTTTAAAAAGTACATAAAAGAAAGAGATAAAAGATCCAGGTAACTGAGAACCAAGCAAGGAAGGGAAGCCCCAGGATGATGGCTAAGGGAAGTCCCACTCTAATAGTTTTAAAGCAGACCAAAGGAGCGCCTACCCAAATTGGAATAGGACTAGTTTGAAGAAACAGGGGAGGAGAGGGACTATTATATGTTTCAACTATTGCAAAAAACAAGTAATAACAGGCTTTTGAAAAAAAGACAAGTTAACATTCTCAAATTAGATTTATGGAGTGCAAATTTTGTCTCATTACACAATAATTCTCTTGGTTTTGAGACCTAATTTTTTTGTTTTGTTTCGTTTATTTAGATATTCTTAATACTTTTTAAAATCAATTTATTGTAGTTTTAAATGGAAAGGGTGCACATAGGTTTTCTTTGAAGCAATTGGAATAATAAAACAACAAATTTGAAAAAAATGTAGTTTCCTAGAACTGAAAAAGCACCTCAACTAAAAGCCAGCCCCCTAGACTCCTTTTTCCATTATGTTTGATTTGCTTAGTTGTACTCATGATCTCATTATCTGGCTGCTAAAGTAGCTTGTCTCAGTCTTTACTGAAAACAAGCTTATGCATTTATTAATTATACCATATTATATTTGAATATTTTTATAGCCAACATAGTTCTCCATACAGGTGGTTTTAGTTGATCTTATTTGATCCTACAGCTACAACCATATAACATAAACAGGACATGTATTGCTTCCCCAAGTTTTATAGATGTAGAAACCAGGACTCACAGAGGCTGTAACTTACCCATCTGATTCTTATTAATGCTCTTTCCTGTTTACTCCTAGAGAAATCTTTCTTTATTTATAATTTTAGTTTTCATTCTATTAAAATGTTAAGGTTTCTGGGCTGGGGTGTGGCTCAGTGGCAGAGTGCTTTGCCTAGCTTGTGTGAGGCACTGGGTTCGTTTCTCGGCACCACGTATCAATAAATTAAAAATAAAATTAAAGGTTCATTGAAAACTAAAAAAAATAAATATCTTTTTTAAAAATGTTAAGGTTTCTGTTGCAATTGCAGATGCTTAGAAAAGCTGAAAGAATGATTTCTGAATGTGGTTTATGGTTTTATTRGATGACTTTATTTTTTAAAGAACCTTAGCTATACAGCAGAATGCCATATGTTCTGCCAATATTTTTATACATAGTGTATTTCAGTACATCAGTAAGGCACTGTGGCTTTTAATTTTTACAATGGTAATTTTTTTCCAGTGCGAATCCTGCTTACCATGAGTTGCTGTTAACTGTTTTGTGGTATGGTGTTGTCCATACTTCAGCACTTGTAAGGTGTACTGCTGCTAGAATGTTTGAGGTATGTTAATATGTGTCTTTGTTGATTCCAAGTAGAGGGAGAGGGGGAAATTTTTTTAAGTGCTTTGTATACCATGTTGATATGTATTTTATGGCATTGAACACTGTCTAGTTGTGTACTGTGTGATGGGGCAGAACTTTAGCTTTGACATATTTTCTAGCCTTATTGGTTCCTTAAATGTTATTCTCAGTTCTAGTTCTCAAATTMTTTTAAATCTTATTTTAATTTCAGTCTTATATAAATCTTTCTGATTCTACTTTTCTACTTATTGAAGTAAATGTCTAGTTAAATAAACTAAAATAACCTGGGTATCTTTCAAGTTATGGATTCATTAGTAGCATTAAAAAATCAATTATTATAATTATGGAAATATTTGATTTATTCATTACTTCAACTTGACTATTCCTTCTTCACATGTTTTATCTGGAATAATATCCCTATACATTAACTGCCAATAGACTTAAAAATAAAGAGGAGATTGTTCACATAATTTACCTTGATTTTATGAAATTGCCACCTACTCAAGTTTGAAAATTGAAATATCTATCTGTTGTACCCATCAGGTAGCAAATTACAACATAGCCAAGTATATTCTTATAGAGAGACATTTTTAGAACTTCAGTCAAGGACTCAAGTTGGTTTAGTCTTTCTTGATGCTTTTGTCTTACCATAGTCAGGCTTCCTGGGTTCAGTTTCCACCTCTGCCACCTGGTGATCTTATAAATTACTTTGGCAAATTTGAACTTCTTCATATCTGAATTTCGTGATCTACACAATGAAGACAGTAATAAAAGTGTTCATCTCAAAGGACCGTTGTTAATATTAAATGAGTTAAATGCTTGAAAGCTACTAATACAGTGTCTGGAATATAAGAGCATATAATAAATGTTAACTATCATTATAGTTTTTATATTCACACTATTACTTCACAAAATAATAGTGCAGGGAATATATATATACTTATCCAGACTTATCTCTAATATTCATGGGATTCTTTAAGCATTTATTTCCATAAGAATTAAATATTTTTGAATTTCATAATTTCACCACAATTTAAGACAAATTGCAGTCAAAAGTATAGAATAAGGATATACTTAAAATATTTTCCTTCTAAATTTTTTAAGATATACTATTCTAAAAATATACCTTCTAAAAATTTTAGGGCTGGGATTGTAGCTTAGTGGCAGAGCACTTGCCTACCACGTGTGAGCACTTGCCTCAGCAGTACCACATAAAATAAATAAATAAAATAAAAGTATTCTGCTTAAAATAAATAAATAAAATGAATAAGAATTTTAATATATAAATTAGATCCATGACATCTAAAGAAAATCCCATTGTATGAGGAAGTTGAAAATTCTCTATTATTCCATCAGTTGTTTTACATATTTGATTAAAAATCTGTAATCCAGGGCTCTTTGTCCAGGTGAATGCTAAAATAACTATTTGGTTTTATGTCTAGTACAAATTGGTTCTGGTTACAAGGAATTTTGATCTTTCAGCATGCTGAAAGATCATTGTAGAAAAAATGAAAGACATTGTAGAAAAGTCTCTCTTCACTCTCATCTTCCCCCTCTAAAGAAAAAAGAAGTAACCTTTTAAATGAAGAGCTGTCTCTTTAATATGTTCCCCTCATGGGATTTTATTCTAAGACCAAAAAGCTAATTGTTTTTCTTAAACCCTTGCTTTCTAAAATGTATGTAGGCACTATTGAAACATTTATATATAAATAAAATATTTTATATATATTATATATATAAATAAAAATAATTTAAATAAATAAACTGAAACATCCCTTGTTTTTGTTTTGTTTTTCAGCCTTGTTTCTTATATGTAGCTATTGTCTGATCTGTGTCAGTACTGGTCTGAAAACTATATCCAAACTTAAGCAGTTTTCAGTGTCTTCTCMGGTTGATTATGAACTTCTCAGTCTAGTTTGAGAGTCTTTCAAAATTCATTTATGAGGGCTGGGGCTATAGCTCAGTTTTACAGCACTTGCCTTGTATGTGTGAGGCACTGGGTTCAATCCTCAGGACCACATAAAAATAAATAAATAAAGATATTGTGTCCATCCACAATTAAAAAAAAAATTTAATAAATTCATGATAAAGATTTTACAGGTCATGGTAATACACCTATCAGTAGGAGAAATTAAAGGTCCTTTTTCTTTAGTGATCCTTATTTTAAACAAAATTGTATTAAATACAGTTCATGAGACTTCTTTTGATATTAATGCTTTATAATGAGAGTTATGGCTGATTCCCCTCAAAATGAATTCTATCAAGATGACAACATAAAAGGAGACTTAAAATAACTAAAAAATACGTGAGAGCAAAAACTCTTGAGGAGAAGGTGAAAAATGGTTATATCTGGAACCTAGTATAAAGTACTGAAGTCAAACAAGAAATTAGCCTAGTTTTTAGATGGTAAGGCACAAGGGGAAACCTAATCAGTTATATTGTTCTCGTTGTTAAATAAGAGYCCATGTCTTACCTTTTTAAAAGGGGAACGTGGCGTCTGGGATTGTGGCTTAGTGGTAGAGTGCTCGCCTAGCATGCACGGGGCCCTGGGTTCGATCCTCAGCACCACGTAAAAATAAATGAATGGAATAAAGGTATTGTTTCCAACTATAACTAAAAAAAAAWAAATATTAAAAAAAGGGGAACATACTGTGTGAGTCTTACTGTGATGCATTAGATTTTCTAAATGATGCAGTAAAAAACCTCTTTCATATAAGTGTTTTTATTGTATCAATCATAAGGAAATCAAGAAGGCATGGACATTAAGTCAGATAAGACAGAATCCATTTTCTAGCTCCACTATTTATTGGCTCTAAATGCCTGGATAAATAACTTCTCCAAGCCTCAATTTCTTCAACTGCTAATATGCTGATAATAATGTACTTGCCTTATATAAAAATCAAATGGTATATTGCTTGTGAAGTGCATAATAATAACTGATAAYTCTTTACTTTCTGATTTTCTAGTTTAAGAAATTGAACTTAATCTCAGAGCAGCACAAAGTTAAACTTGTCCCCTAGATTATCCTCTTTTTTAATATTTTTAGTGGGCACAAGAGCAGATATTTCAAGATATACTTTATGGATTCAAAATCTGAGCTATCTTAGTTATAAGATGATACAGAGAGAAGAAGGTTTTCTTTAATAGTATTTGAACTTTCTTCTCCTGTTTCTTTATACCTGACATCTATAACTAAGGTAATAACAAAAGTTCCTTTGTTGTTTATTCCTAATCATCTGTGGTTTTATATAAAAATTACTTCAGAATTTAGAAGTAGATTCTAAAATGAATTCAGTTGGTAAGTGGAAACAGATTATTCAAAATTAAGTATCTTCACRTAAAGTGAGGTATGCTCTCATGTGTTGCATAGGGGTGTTCACATATGCACATAATGATTTCTGTTATTAAAAATTCCATGGCATCTTGATCTTCTGTGAGGACTAGTTCCATTATTAGGTGAACAGACTGATTCGCATTTAGGATTAAAAATGCTTACACTCTGAAGTTGAAAAGAGGGTTTCCCTTCTGTATTAACCTCAAATTTAGTAATCTTTATAAAACAATAAATGCATACTGCTCAGTATGGTTCTGTTTTGCAAATTAGTTTTATCTAATAAATGATTATTTTAATATATTCTGATTATGTTTATTTGAAAATTTATTCAAGATTTTAGAGAAATATAAAACAAAGAACTGTTTAAAAGTTAGCTACCAAACTTTTAAAAATTAATTTCATTTTCCAAATACATCACAAATCATATTATTGAAGTAGTTATAATAATTAAGTTTTCGTTTGTTTCTTGAATGCAAATTCTTTATCATATAAGTATATTATGTGAAAATCAATAGTCAACGGTCCTTTGAGTTAAATATTGCCATTTTCAGATAATAAAACTGAGTTTCAAGAGATAATGTAATATATCTACCACTACAAGCTAACAAATGGAGAACTGGAGTCTGAACCCAGAGCTGATTCTCAAGTATATTACTCTAGAAGTATTATGTTGCATTATGCTCTATACCTCTAAAGAGAAAGCTCTGTGATTTAAAAGGTTGAGAATTTCCCTATGTGTTTTTTAAATTTACTTACTATAGAACAATCATAAGCAGTTTAATCATGGCTGTTAGACATTTCAGTTTGGTTTAAAAACAGTTCAATTTGTACCATATCGGTCATAATTAAACCACACCAGATTTCCTTTGAGAATTTAACCATAACACCTTGTGTGTGTCCTCTAAGTTCAATTTTCTTTTCCTCTTACATTGTATTTTAATTGAACATGGAAGTTACATAGACTATTTGACCAAAAGTACACTGCCATTCAATCAATGATGAAATTTCTTTTCATAGCTGCTAGGCTATTTAAGCTTTTATTTTCTTGCTAAGCATTCTCTGCCTTTGTAAAGCACTCTAGTAGCTATATTTGCTTAGCTTCTAATTTTGGTTTTGCTTTATGTTTTCTCTCTTTCTCTTGGTTGTCCCTTTCTTCTTCCCGTGACACTGTATTTGCTCTTTTCGTGCATCACCTGTGAATACCCCCTGTGCTGACCAATCAGCTGTTGGTGAAGGGGGTGAATGAAACTCTGGTAGCTCAGAGGGTTGTTCCTGCTCTCATTACACTCTCCAGTGACCCTGAAATGTAAGTGTCATCCCTGCCTTTTACGTTCAGCATCCCTTTCAAAAATGTGCCTGTCAGGAAATAGCCATCAGCTTTAGAATTCATTGTAGAAGCTCTTTGAAATAATAATACTGGCTGGGCTTGGTGGCTCAGGCCTATAATCCCAACAACTCAGAGGCTGAGGTAGGCTGAAGAAGGAGAATTGCAAGTTCAAGGCCAGTCTTTGAAATTTAGTGAAATTGTGTCTCAAAAAAATACTGTTTTTAAAGGCTAGGGGTGTAGATTAGTGGTAGAACACCCCTTGATTTAATTCTCAGTACCACAAAAATAATAATAGTAGTAACATTACTGGATTATGCTTATTTGATTTTTAAGCTTTATCATGTTACTGTTCATACATCATTTTTTTAAAAGCGAACCCTCACAGTAAGACTAATTTGGAGGCCGTGTATTGGCAAAAAACATATCAGTAGTATTAGTATTCAGTTAACATTTTCAAACATAAAATGTGCTGATGGACTATTTCTTCCAAGCCAAGAAAGGATGCTCTGCTAATCTCACTAACAGGTTGTTACCAGTAAGTGTAGTGGCATGAACCAAAGGCTTAACATTTTAATGTCTCATGTGAGTGACTAAACCAAGAAAGGCCAGTGAGTCTGCCTGCCCATCCTCAGTCACAGCTAACCCAGTTCTCATTCCAGTTTACCAAACCATTTTTTATTGCATGTTGACTGGTTTACAGCTGACTCTTCGAGGCATGAGTGAAGCGTTAGTTGACAAGCGGGTTGCTCCGGCCCTTGTTACCTTGTCCAGTGATCCTGAATTGTGAGTTTCACAGACTGCGACCTTAAGTTATCCTGCCTGTCTTTTTGAGCATTCTTCTTGGTCTGCTTTTTAAAATTTTTAATTTGTCATTGCTAGAGACTAATACAGTATTTTTACCTACTGTGATTCACATTTTATTAATACTTACTTTGTATCTCAAAGAAAGTTTCAGTTTCTTTCTTTTTTAATTTCTAACAGCTCTGTCAGGATTGCCACAATTCCAGCTTTTGGCACTATTATGGAAACAGTTATTCAAAGAGAGGTAGGAAATCACCAAAATGTACTTATATATGTGTATCTCATTGAGGTGATGGTGACACATTACCACACGTGTCCCCATTGATAGGGGCAGAAGGATTATACCTTTTATGTTATTTCTTAGTTGTGGGCAGAGGAGTATCTCATATTTGAAAGCATAGCCTAACTTAATAATAGGCATATCCCCGTATCCTTAGGAACTAGTCCATATTCCATATGTCCAGTCTTCTCAACTAATTAATTAATTAATAGGCCAACCTCAGGTGTTCCAAGTCTAACTGGATATTGGAGTTTTGAGTAAGCTTTCAAATCAAGCCTAACTCCAAAGCCTTATATTTTCTAGTAGACTTTTAGCCAAACTGTGTAAATTCTTGATTGCAAGTTTGCACAGATTTGAAAATTATTTTACAAGGTAACAGTAGGAACACAAATCTATTTTATAAATGAACAACAGAAAGCACCTGTATTCTGATAACTATGTCATTGATGCTACCAATCTGGTATCATCTTAATACTACATCTGTCATTAGTGATTCAAGAGAATACCAAAGCTTTCCTCCCTAAAGGTGTATTTTGAAACTGTGATTCCATTTCAAGTTTTTTAGATTCTGTCTGTAACATTAACTGTAGGACACATCTCAAAATTAGTATCAGAGGTTTATTATTTGTTATCATATTGGACATGTCTTTACACAAATGAAAAGCCCTCTGGATTAGAAAATAAATTACTTGTGGATATAGTCCCCGGTCACTTAAATGTAAATAATGCTTTTCATTTAATGACATTTTACCAAAAAAAAGAAAAATTTAATATAATTTCTTTGTCATAAAGATTAAAATTAAGTAATTTGGTTAGAAATATTTTTAATTTTTCTTGGTGAAGCAACAGAAAAAAAAACATCATTCTGCAACACTTGCAGTCTTGGCAGAATTTCAACATATTCTTAAATCCTAAAATAAAAATGTCTTAGGGAAATATGAGTAAGATATAAGTCATTAATGACTCATTGCTTTCAGAAGGTGGATGATTGGGTAACTCATACTGTGACTTAAGAGTTATCATTTTGATACAAAATCATAAATTTAACCATCTTTGCCCTAGTTACAGGGTTTTTTCCTTTTGATTTTACATTTTGTCAGGGAATATTTTTATTTTTTAAAAAAAAGAATTAATAAGAATAAAAAATGTGAAAGCTTTTCTGAGCTAAAAGACTACATAAGTATTTTATTATATCCAAATGTCTAATTTCATGGGGTTATAAATTGTTTGAACTTACTGCTGTAAGCTATGTTTAGTATGTATATCTTTCATTTTAACAACAGTATTCATTTTTAATATTCTATAAAATGACAATATAATATCCAATTTTAAGTTACTAGAAAGAGTGAAAATGCAGTTGGCTTCTTTCCTGGAAGATCCTCAGTATCAAGATCAACATTCTTTGCATACAGAGATCATAAAAACATTTGGTAGAGTTGGGCCTAATGCAGAACCCAGGTTCCGAGATGAGTGTAAGTTGCATTTTTCTACCTTTTTTCCTGAATTGTCAGATCAAAGCCAGAAGCTTCTCTGAGGATTTGTCACMTGTTAAATAAAGCCTTGACTGCATTTTATCTTTTGTGTGTTGAAAACTGAACTCAAAACAAGTTATTTATTATGAATCCAATGTATTAATTTGACATCATAAGGTGCTAATTTATCCATGTTTGAGGAATATAGAAAATTTCAGTACATATTTAGACAGAAAGACATACACATATCCACACATGTGTATATGCATACCATTCAAGTTCTATTAACTATTAACTGCATGAATGCTTTATTCCACAAAACCCCCCACACCCCTATTCCTTACTATATGTTATATTATCATATATTCGGTACATAGTATATATTTGGTATACTATATATCAGTTGCTCTAATACATATGAAAAGTGACTCTAAACTTCATTATTATAGAATCATTTCTTAATWATAGCTAATTGCAAAATACTGTGCTGCCTTGTATTTTTGAGGGTTTTATTATTCATAGGGAAATTTTGTATTTCTAGATAAATTTTTTATTTTTAGTTTTAGGTGGATGCAACATCTTTATTTTATTTTTATGTGGTGCTGAGGATCAAACCCAGTGCCTCAACAATGCTTGATGAGCACTCTACCACTGAGCCACAACCCCAGCCCCTCTAGACATGATCTTATGAAAGCTATGCATTTCTCCAACTTAGCGTGTTGTCAGCATGACACACCACTTTGTTTTAATACAGTTTGTTGATCCGCTAAATGATCTGCATGATTATCTGCTAACACATTTTCTCCAGTTTCTCTTTTTTTTACAGTGGTCCTCAACCTTTATGACAACAGTTTCTTTTGGTAGCTTCAGTCCATCTAGAAATTATTTCTCCAGAAACACATCAGTTATCATTGTTAATCGTTAGCCCTTAATTTTAGCAGTTTGTCATGACTTAGAAAGGGCCACAGGTTCAACCACTTAATAATCAACTTGGTTTCTAATACAGAGTTGGATTCTCCAGTAAAGTAGTTTTTGCAAATTCAGCCTGATATTATTTCTTACCATTTTTAAGATAAGAGTAATCAGAAAGTATTAAGTCAGTATTRAGGCTGCAGGGTCCAAAACATATGTTGAGGGAGGACACCACACTTCAGAAATGGTCTTTTCACTGTGCAAGTGTATTCATAGTTAACCGACCAACAGAAAAAGCATTGGTATTTTAGTTTTGCAATAGGGCTAGACCCACATGTGGTAACATCAAATTGACAGATGATTTTAGTAGGAGCTCTGAGGTACTTTGACTTCATTGAGGCTGTAATTACTCTTAGGCAAAGAGAAACTCCTGTCTTCTGGATTAAGGAGATAGTATAAATAGTATTGGGTCTTTAGGTTATACTGTGACACTGAGTTAAAAACCTCTCGAGCATGATCTAACCTTTGTATGTACATTCAAAAGGAGAACTGTTGATCATCTATGAAGGATCAGTCTGGATTCCTATACTTTTGTTAGATCATTGGAGTCTTTTTTCTCAGTCATTCTAGGTCTACAATTATTTCTCAAAGCAAACATAGTGTCTGTATCTTAATTTTGAAGAACTTTAAAAAATAATCATACTACTTCATATGACAGATTATTTATAGAGTAGATACATACCTATTATATTTGTAGGATTTGCATAACAAGGAACTTTYTTCTCATAGTAGCCCTAAATTAACAGTTAAAAATGGGCTTAAGAAAAAAAAATGAGCTTAAGAGAAGATTTAGGATAGAAATTCCCACTGCTTGGGGCTCGGGCTGGGACTGGGGCTCATCTAGCGCTCTTCTAGCGAGGCGCTGGGTTCGATCCTCAGCACCACATAAAAATAAATAAAATAAAGGTATTGTGTCCAACTACAACTAAAAATATATATATTTTTTTTTAAAAAGAAATTCCCACTGCTTTAGTAGATCTAGTAAACCATTGGCCGTGACATCTCCTTTAACTTATCATATACCTGCAAATACATTTTCATACAATCTTTCAYGTTTTAATATAATCAGAATGGTTTTTAAGATAAAAATCTCTCCCCACCTTCACTGGATTTATTGTCCAGTGAAGTGGCGTATTTAACTGTACTCAAGCAATTCCCTTTTGGAGTTTAGAGGAAGAATGGAGAATTTGGGAGTGGTAATGTCTTCCTTGGAGAGTAGCATTTTAGGTATGTAGATTATTTGTCCCTCTACTTCTTAACTAATAGAGGACATTAGTTCTTTCATTAGCCTTTGTTTTTCTAACTTTTAGTTATCTCGGGAACTTTGGTTCTGATTTTTAAGAACCTTTTTTTTTTATCTGAAACCCTATGGAGTTAGTTTGTTTTTAGTTATTTTACTTTGTAAGGTTTTCTAAAAATATTCAGTGATATCCTGGAAATTTGCTAGAGGGTCAATTTTCCATTACAAATTAGTTTTTTTTTTTCTTGGTTCCTTATTTCACATCTGAGCACATTTATTTAAAAAGAGGAAAAGATTTCCTTTACTTTTACTGCCAGATCTACCCTAGAATATTTTTTGAAAGTTTTCTGAAATATAGTTTTATGAATTCTCTTGTTGATTTATCTTTATTTTAGTTGTGATTTTTAAATCTTTGTCCAATCTGCCCTGAAGAAGACAATTTTACAGTTGTTTTATGTTATGTATTTCCTATTCTTTTTCCCTGTGAAGATTAATTTTAGAATTATGCTCACCTAGGCTACTAAACCTTTTCTTAGTCTTTAGTATCCTACTGCTTTTAACCATTTAAATCCATCTGATGTATTAAAATTAAGTAATTAGAACAGATGAGGTAGCCCAGGATAATACAAGTACAGTGAAATCTTGGATTCTATAGTACATTTTTATGTTCCTGAGAATTAAGAGGATCCTTATGTAAAGCCTTTAACTAACTCTACTTTAAAGTTTAAATTAACTTCTATAGATTTATCTTTTAGTCAAGCATTTTTAAGGAATATTATACAGTATGATCATTGTATTTTTTAGAAAAACTGAGGAAAGGTCAAAGACTAGGAACAATAAAAGGGCTATGCATGATTAGATCAAATGGCAAGAAAGGTAAGTTTCAGAAGGTTGGGTTAGAAGTGAACTATACCCTTTGGGAGAACCTAAGCCATCTCTCCTAAGAATCCTAGTTTTAGTGGGAAATGGTATTCAGAAAACACAGTCTTGGGCACTATGGATTGCTCATTGCAACTGCATAGGTTATTATTTCTTCAGTCATTGCTTTTAGTTTATTTTTTTTTAATTTTTAGTTGTAGTTGGACATAATACGTTTATTTTATTTATTTTTATGTGGTGCTGAGGATTGAACCCAGAGCCTTACGTACTAGGCAAGCACTCTACCGCTAAGCTACAACCCCAGCCCTCCCCACCATTGCTTTTACTTTAGTAGTAGGCTATCTGTATTTATGAAGCTTTACATTATTCTATAAGGGTATTGAACCCTCAGAACTTAAAAATTCAGGCACCAGTGCCATTTGACATTATTTTTTATGAAGCATTTTAGAAACTAAAGGTAATAATATTATTAGGGAGTAAAATAACATTATTGAAAAAAAATTGTGAGTTATTGAGAAAATAATAAGTATATTATAACAATAATAATATTTTTATTAAAAAGCTTGTTTGTAAGGACAAATAACACAAGATATAGGTTGTTCATATTTGTGTGTGTATGTGTGTGTGTGTTTCTTTTTTCAAAATTGGGAAAATGAATTACAGTGAGCCAAAATCACCCACATGCATCCCCATAACTAGTTAATAATTACAGTAGTAAATAATCTATTTCTCCCAAATCCCAGATCACTTTTTGTTTTTAAAAACATACTTTCTTCCTAGTAAGAAAAAGAAAGCATAGAATGTTGATAATCTTTTGAAAGCATCCATCAGTAAATAGAATTTTAGAAATTAAAATGGTAAATCTTTTGTAAAGTATGAGGGTTTCATATGCGTGTTTGGGATAAAAATGTAACAATTTCTTTTTTCTTTTTCAGTCGTTATACCACATTTGCATAAGTTAGCCTTGGTGAACAACTTACAAATTGTGGATTCTAAAAGACTGGACATTGCTACCCATCTTTTTGAAGCCTACAGTGCACTTTCATGTTGTTGTATCCTTGCTTTATCAAAGTGTATCTACCTTTTTGTAACCAGTTTTACAATGAACCTTAGCTTCAACTTATTAATATGTAGAAAATTGAAATTTTTATTTTCCTTTGTCCACTTCTTTTTTACAGTTGTTTTATAATTTTAAAAATAACTTAAAATTCTGTTTATATTTCTACCTTTTTAAAATAATAAGTTTCTTAGACCGAATTTTATTATGTTAATCAGCTGTGTAACAGAGCAAAAAATAAAGCCAGAATGAATTATAGTCGAGAGACTTCCATTTATCAAAAGACTGCCTTATATATGTCCTGGCAGTTAAGTTTTTCAGTGAATATTTAATTGTTGGTATCCGGTGAATTTCTCTGACAGAGGAATCACTCATTGGAAAAGTACAGGGACAATTAGGAGAAAACTTAGATCATATAAGCCCACATCAACTCTATATTGTAAATAAATAAGCTAAGGCTTAAAGATGATAGTGACTTATTCTCTTTTTATAGTTAAAAGCAAAACTGTGACCAGAACAAAGAACTTTAGTCATTCTCCCCCAACTCCCATTAAATATTCTCTTTACTATCCTATGCCTAGTAAAATAAAAACTAAGAGGAAGTAAAGATGGGCAAAATGAATACCAACTTCCTGGCTTTTATTGAAAGGCAGAAGAGTTCAAAAAAGGAAATAAGAGATTGAAAAAAGTGGAATGTTGAATATTCAAATAGAAAAATCTGCACACTAGACACAGAATCAGAGAATTATGATATAGAGGAATTGGAAAAATGATAAGAGGTTCCTGGAAAAAATAGCAAAAAGGAAGTTTCAGGTTTATGATTTCTGATACTGAGTATATAATGTTCTTAGATTTTTACATTTTTCCCAATTGTTTACACATGGTTGCTTGTTACTATTGGTGCATTTGAATTTATATAAAATAGTGAAATTCATTGTGAAATATTGTACAGCATTTAATAACAAAGTAAGCAGGTACTTTTAAATAAGATAAATGCACAACACTATTGGCACTGGATTTTTGACCAGAAAGTATCGTGGGAGATTGTTTTTACTCAGAATAAAACAGAAAAGTAGAAAAATAGAGCTATCTATTAAGGAGCTGCATGTCCTTTTGAAACTATTAAAACTTTTAGATAATTGGATTCATTATTGAGTATATTTTATTTTTGGAATCTACTACAAATTACCAAATCATATGGATGATATAAACCATGTTCTTTGGAATATAGGTTAYGAAGTGGGCATAAGTACCCTGTTTTAGTAATATTGTACCTCAATTATGTGTGTCATCTGTAAATTTAATTCCACTAAAAGGAGAACTTACTATCATTCCTGATTTATCTTTTTGGCTCCTTAAACTTAGAGAAAATAGAGGAAGCAAAAAGAGGAACTGATATTCTGAATTAGCAAGGAAGAATTTTTTAACAATGGAGAAGCGACAGGATCCCTGCAAGAAAGTAATAATAACACGTCAGAGTTTTATCACAAAAGAAGGAAAATATTGTTTCATTCACTAGACTTAAGCAGAACTCATGTATAATATTAGTAGAAAGTTTCTAAAGGAATGTGCCAAAAAGAAAATGATCAAAAAGATCAAAATTTTTATCTTTATAAAATCCAAAAATCAAAATTTTTATCTTTATAAAACAAAATTTTCCAAGTGGGAAAGACATTGGTTTCTGAAGAGCATAGAAGTCTATATAGAAAAATATTATCATGCATTTCAATACACAGATTGTTCCAAAAATAAACACAATAAAAAGTTTTTATAGCAATATGGTATAAGAAAGAACCATCCTAACAATAGTGCTTAAGAAGTCATGTTTAGGAAAAGCTAGAAGGAATTTAGAAATCTTTAACCTGGAGAAGAGATAGCTTGAGGATAGAAAGATATTTTGACAATTGCAAGTACCTAAAGGTTAGAAGGAAGGGTAGGTACTGTGTAGCTAAAGGTACAGAGCTAACACTAAACAAGCTAAGGTTCCAGAGAGACCARTTTTGTTTATGGGGAAAACTTTATAATTGGTCTATCTAAAACTGCAGTGATCTCGCTTATGAAATTATAAATATGCTATCCTTATGAACAATTAGAACCCTTTTGACCATCATTAATCAATGAGGTAGAGGCTATTTCAAACATGAGTAAATGATCTGTATATTTGCAGAGCTTGAAAGACTATGATTCTTTGGGGAAAAGGTGAACTGAAAGGAGGAAAGTATCTTTCCTCTTTTCTCTAAATAAAGTCATCTTAAGCTTCTCAATCTATGCCCATATTTCTGACATCACAGGCTGCTAATCCAAAGGTCACTCACAGCTTTATCTTGGTGGTACTTTCCCCATATCTAGAAAGAAAACTACATAATCATTAGGTTGCAGCCCTCTGTATGTCTATATTTTTAGTGACTATTGAATTTATAAGCCACTAATTATAGGAGCTTTGTGCACAATTTTTATTTAAAACTGTATTTTCAAGGAAATATTTAAATATGCTGATTTTTCTTGATAATTTTTATTAAAAATATTTTTAAATTTATTATAATTTATTAAAATTTTATTTTAATTTTTTTTCAAAAATAAATAAGCCATCTTTCTAAGCAAATTTTTATTTAGTGGCATTTTTTACTTTAATATGGTATAATCTTTTTAAAGAACTATTTTAAATAAATAACAGCTAGAATAAGGTAAGAATGTGCCAGAATTGATGTGAATGAACAAGATGAATTATTTTTCTTGACAAATATATCTGCTTTCCTGATTCTTTAGAATGTCAAGATAATCAACAGAAATTAAGATGAGCAGGAACTATAAGTAATACTAAACTGATAGCAAAATCTCTTATTACATCAAAAACTCTGTTATCCAAGTCTATCAGAACCAGTAGAAGGTCAGTTCAACAGGATGATTAAAATAAGAAACCAGGAAAATGATATAAACCTTAGATAACTTATTTTAACTTAAAAATATACTTGTATTTTTATCAATCTTGATATAAAACTGAGGCATCTCTTTTGTGTGAATCATTATAGTTAAATATCTTTCTTAGATAAACCACATCCATGGTGCATTTGTGTATAATTTTAAGATTAAGGTTCTCTTAACAGGATCCAGAAACATTTCTGATACTGAGTATATAATGTTCTTAGATTTTTACATTTTTCCCAATTGTTTACACATGGTTGTTTGTTACTGTTGGTGMATTTGAATTTATATAAAATAGTGGGATTCAGTGTGAAATATTATACAACACTTAATAACAATGCTTTAAGCAGTTTGCCCTTTTTTCCCAAAACTTTCAACTTAATTGTCATAGAAACATTGATTTTCTTTTCATACTCATTTAAATCTGATTAAGTTTCMTGATTTAGTTGTCATCCTTTTTTCACACATTTACATAGCATATTATTGAATTATGGGATACCAGAATGAATGCCACTAGCATGAATAGATTGTGAGAATAAAACAGTAACCTGCTCCAAATAAAGAATCATACAGGACTGTTTACTTACTCTGAGCATCAATAGAACATAGTCCTCCTTTCAGAGGGCTTCTTTATATATAACCTCTACTGTTTGGTTGAACATTTGGTTTATTAAATTTTTCTTAACTACCTTCTCTCAAGTCATTTCAGAGGATTTAATGGTAAATCATTTTTTACCTGGCCTCAGGTGTTTACGCACTGACATGGAACATCTCTCTCCAGAACATGAGGTAAGCCACTGTGATTATCACTGTTATCACTGTGATAACACTGTTATTATCTGATATGTTTCAATATCGCCAATATGTTTCAATATCTCCTGTGCAAGCTTTCATTACTCTTTATGTAAGGCTTGATTGTGATATGCTGTGTTTAATTTTTTTTTAATTTAGCTCAGTGTTATTATTTGATTTATTTACTAGTTGTGATATTTTAAGCAACTGCTTTAACATCTTGAATCCTCTGCTTAATTCTGTGAAGTAGATATAACATGCTTACCTTCATTTTAATTAATAAGAATTTAATAAGATTTACATGGGTGAAATGTTTTATAACTAAAAAAATGTTAATTATCTCTATCAACTTTCTTAAAAGCCAAGTTTCTATTTTCTATCTCCATTTCTTCATAACTCTTTCATTTCTTGCTCTTTGCCTCCTGCTTCCTCTATCATTTGTATCCTCAAGCTATTTTTCCTGCCAGCTTTTCCTATTATGTTTGACTTTTTTTCTCCTAAGTGAAACAAAAGCTTCCTTTCATTGTTTCCCATATCTCTTTTTCTTCTCAATGTCTCTACCCACTCTTTTCTTTTCAACTTTCACACTGTCTATTGGTACAGATGCCTACTTGCAAATCAGTTCCTTATTCATCTTCTTTTTTGTTGTTGTTGTTCAAAAAACTAAGAAGCATTGAGTTTATTTACATCTATGAATTTTTTTAAATTAGAAACAAACTCAACAAAAGACTTGTTCTTCAGTAATATTAACTTTTAAATTATTTTTTCCYGTCTTTATACATGTAGTATTTTTTTGCATTAAAATTCTTATTACACATATATACYACAATTTTTCATATCACTGTTTATATATAAAGTAGGTTGACACCCAATTTGTGTCTTCATATATGTACTTTGGATAATGATGTCCATCACATTTAATTCAGCTTCTTGCCGATCTTCAAAACATTCCTTTATCTCCTTCAAGTTTTTGCTTAAATCTCAACTTTACCTCAGTGCCTACCCTGAACTAAAGAAACCTAAAAAAAATAAATACTATTAAGTGATTGAGATTTGGGAGTGGGATAGGCAAGGAATGCTGGGGAATTGACTCAGGGCCTTGCACTATACCCAGCCCCCAGATTGAGATCTTTTAAAATTGTTCCTGTATTTAGTCTAAGGACCTAATATGAATCCTTTAACAAAGTAACTGCCATATTTTTAAGATTTTAATCAATGTGTTAGTTTATAAGATACTCAATATTTAGTTAAAACTTTAGATAAAACCATCGTGTTGTGCTCTTCATTAAAGTAATTTTTCTTAATCAGGTTATTTTAAGTTCTATGATAAAAGAATGTGAACAAAAAGTAGAAAACAAGACTGTCCAAGAGCCTCAAGGGTAAGACATTTTTTCTTTAAGGCTTCATATTTACCTTAATTTTTCTATCTAAATATTGTTTATAATGTTTCATGTTGTATTATTTTGTAGTCATTTATTTAGAAGACAAGAAAATTATTCAGTTCAGCTGTTCTTTCAAAGCTAGTCAATAAACCATCTCATCAGAAGTATCCCTGGAATTTAAAACTCGGATCTTGTCCTCATGCTTTGTACCCTCCTCTCGATATTGTGATTCACTCTAGGAATCTTTACATTTAACAGTCTCCAAAGAGATTTTGCTGTGGAGCTGGATCAGGAACTCACTGATCAAAACAATATCTAGAAATTTGTGTCAGAAATTTGTTAGCTAGGTGGCACATGCCTGTAATCTCAGCTGCTTGGAAAGCTGAGAAAGGAGAATCATGAGGTTAAAACCAGCCTTAGCAATGGCGAAGCCCTAAGCAACTCAGATCCAAAATAGGGCTGGGGCTGTGGTTCAGTGGTCAAATGCCCCTGAGTTCAATCCCCAGTATCAAAAAAAAAAAAAAAGAAAGAAAGAAAGAATTATGTCAGAAGTTGGAAGATATAGCTGTTTGCTGCATAAACAATTGTAAATTTGGGAATGTCATAGCCAAACTAATGCTTCTAAACAAGCTAATTAGAATTCAGAGAGTCAATGAAATTAAAATGTGACAAGCCAGGCAAGGCTTGGTGGCCATTACCTATAATACCAACTACTCTGGAGACTAATGCAGTTAGAAACCAAGTTAGGCAACTTAGTGAGACCCTGTGTAAAAATAAAATAAAAAGGCTGGAAATATAACTTAGTGGTAGAATGCTTGCCTAGCATGCATGAGGCCCTGAGTTCAATCCCCAGTACTGAGGGAACAAAAAATAGTGAACACAGATGAGGAAGAATAATTAATGTTAGGAATTCAGAAAAGGAATAATTTACAAATAGACTTTGTGTACTTTCTTATTGAAGTAATCTTCAGTGATTAATTTTAAATGGTTTCAAACATTAAAAAAAAAAAAAAACCCAGAGTGTTTTCTTTAAGTATAACTATTAGGAGTATGTTTCATCCTAGCTACTCTTTCATACACACAGAGTCTCTTAGTCTTTGATATAACAGAACCTTTTTTTTTTTTTTTAATTAAGCTTACTAGGATAAAAGGAGCTCTTCTTCATACATACCTGCTATTTCAGCAGTAGAGGATTCAAACAATAAGAAGAGCTAACTAGGCACAGTGGCACATGCCTGTAGTCCTAGCAACTCAAGAGGCTAAGGCAAGAGTGTTGCAAGTTTGAGGCCAACCTCAGCAACTTAGCAAGACCCTGTTTCAAAATTACAAAATAAATTTTAAAAGACTAGGAATGTAGCTAAGTGCTAAAGCAGTCCTGGATTTGATCTCCAGTGCCCAAAAATAATAAAACAATAGTAATGTAATGAAACAAAGATTTCTGATCTAAACAAAATCTCCAAAATAAACACCAAAACAAATACTTACATTTATTTATTATATGTTAAATATCAAGATTATTTGGTGTCTTCAGATTATTGTTTTAAAACGTGAAAATTTTTGGAACAAAATTCATTTTAAATGAAATTTCATGGATCTACATGTAGGAATTAAAATAGAGAAAAATATCTTTGCAAAAGATTGCTTTTTCTATATATGACCCTTCTTTTAAATTTTTTTTAAAAAAGCTTTACTTGTGTAATCATGTTTTTTCATGTTATTCAGATCATCTGTATTGTTACTGATTTTTAGAGAATTTCAAATAAACACAAGAATGAATTCCCATGTTTTAATCACCCAGCTTCAACTCAGTTTTATTCCACTATTATACCATTTACTTCCCTTTCCTATATATACAATGCTATTTATCTTTAAAAGATAACAAGTATTTTGGGGGCTGGGATTGTAGCTCAGTGGAAGAGCACTTGTAGCATGTATGAAGCACTGGGTTCAATTCTCAACACCACATATAAATAAATAAAATGAAAAAGGTCCATCGACAACTAAAAAATACTTCTTTTAAGAAAAGGTAAGGGGAGGCTGGGGTTGTGGCTCAGCGGTAGAGCACTCACCTAACACAGGCGAGGCCCTGGGCTCGATCCCCAACACCACATAAAAATGAATAAATAAAGATATTGTGTCCAACTACAACTAAAAAATAAATATTTTTAAAAATCTCAGCCTCTCAGGAGGTAACAAGTATTTTTTAAAAACATAAGCAATAACAATAACTCCTTAATGTTGTCGATTCTTTTGTCCCCATTTAAATTTTGAATTTTTTTCATGAATATTATCTGATTTGTTATTTAATTTTTTTTTTTTATAGTTTGTTCTTTGAGTCAAGATCCAGATAAGTTCTGTACATTATATCTGGCTGATATGTTAAGTCTCTTACTCCATAGGTACAAGGTTCCACTCCTCTTTTATTCTTCATAAAATTTGCTTGTAAAAGAAACTGGGTCATTTGTCCTTGAGAGTTTTTCACAGTTTGAATTTTGCTGACTACATTTCCCTTGTATTGTTTAACATGTACTTTTGTATTTCCTGTAAATTTGGTAGTTGGGTCTAGATCTAGAGACTTAATCAGATTCGGGGCGTCTTTGTTTCTTTGGGCAAGACTACTACTTTTTTCCTCATAAGGCAGATAATGTCTGCTTCTTTCCTTTTTTGGTGATGTTAACAAGCTGTTAGTGACTAAAACCTAGTTCCACTAATTCATTACAGATTACAAAATACAATACTCTCTAATTCTGTCATTTCTATATCATTTATGAGCCAGAATACTTCAGAAAAGAAAATTTTTACCCCATATGTACTACCATGACCCAGTGTATATTGTTTGCATAGTAAAGATAAAATAAATGTTTGGGGTTTTTTTTTTTACCAATTTTCAAAAAAACTGATTCACTCTCTGGTGAACACCGCAGTTGTTTTTAAATATCATTATGAACTCGTGTATTTAAATATAGTTGTTATTCATTGCATCGAATTATTCTAATTGAATCACAAATTATCCCATCTTTAGCCAATTTGAGCCCTTTCAAGTTGACATGTTAGTCCTGTTGACATGGCCCTTCTTCGMAATCTAGTATGACAATATCATAAACATACTTTGAGAGTAAGGGTCAGAGAGTAATACGATTACAACAATTTGTATATAAATTGTTCCAAGTAATTTWAAAAAAAWTTTTTTTTCATCATTAAGATTTGCAAAACTGCCAGGCATGGTAGTACATTCCTATAATCCCACCCGCTCAGGAGGTTGAAGCAGGAAGATCTCAAGTTCAAAGCCATTTTCAGCAAAAGCAAGGTGCTAAGCAACTCAGTGAAACCTTGTCTCTAAATAAAATACAAAATAGGACTAGGGGTGTGGCTCTGTGGTTGAGTACCCCTGAGTTCAGTCCCCAGTATCCCCCCCMAAAAAAAAAGCTTAATGACATGGATTTGTTGTTGTTGTTGTTGTACTCTAAAAGTGTGTTTTGAAATATTTTGTACTTGGTAAGAGAGTTTTCTATAAACACCAAATGAAGTAGGAAAAATATTATATGTTAATCTTTAACTTAACTCATTTTGTAACAAAAAAATATGTGAAAACATTAACCATATTATCAGTCAGTAGATATACAAGAGAGAAACAATAGAATTTGGGCATGATTCCTTCTATCAGGAAGCTCACATCCTATAGTTAATCAAGACATTTACATAATTTTAGCAGAACAGAGACTTAAAAATACCAAATAAATAATACAGGAAGTATACACTGAAGAAATGAGAGGAAATCTGATACAGTTTTTCATGTGCAAAAATTTCTTCATTTTGGGCAGTGTACTCAGGATTGGAGATAAATAAATAAAAATAAGTAGATAGCTTTGCCCTTYGGTAATTTATTTTAGAGCAAGCCTAGACAAGATATGGAAATGGCATTGTGGTCCCTATTGTAAGTAATATAATAAATCCATGATGAAATTATACTGGTTATGTAAGTAAGAAAATGGTCTTAACTACCAAGGACAGCCAAGAGAGGTTCAGTGGAAGGCTTTGGGAGCCTCAGCTCTACCATATCTGTGCTCCCTCAGATCTTCACACAGAGAAGTCCATCTGCTAGGAATATTCTTACTCTGTCTTAGCTACTTCCTATTGATCCTTCAGGCCAAAGCTTAGATGTCACCTCTTCAAGGAAGGCTTCCTTCACTATYTCCTCCTCTGAAGTCTATTATAGATCAAAAATACAAGAGGAAAACCTTGAACGGTAAAGAGAACTGCTTCTAAGTTATAAGTGAGAATTGGGGCAGATAAGTGTCGTGTTCCTCACGACTAAAGCACTCAAGGTCACTCCAGGTGAACAGGGCTGCACGAAATAACCACACAAGAGACAGAGATACCTTTTKCTTTGGGGTCCTGTGACAGCTCCTCTGACTTTAGGGTCTGCAGAAAGAAAGAGTGCGTGCTGAACCCTTTTATTGAGGAGAAGCCATTCAAATGAGGCAAGGGGAAAAGTTTCAGGGGATTGAGTCTAGCTTCGAGATGTCTGCTGTCAGTAGGTTGACTGACATCTAGGAAGGCCACACCCAAAGGCAGAGCGAGAGAAGGGGACACACAAAGGGCGTTTCCATGGAACATTCTATCCCAAATAGGGCAAAGGGGTAATTTCACAAAGGAACTGGTGAGCGTAGCTCAGTTCATGACACGCCTACATCTGAAGACGCGTCCTCAAACTTCCAGGACCCGGGCAATGTCCAGGTCACTATGAGATGTAGTGACGGTCAAAGCCTCTCTGCTCAGGGAAGGAGAATGCAAATCATTCAGAGTGACTACCTCCCACAGGTAAAGGTGTTAATATATGCGCTGATATTTGCTGTGACCCAGTAGGATAGCATTAAATTAATTGATTGTGATAAACATTTTTCCCCCAAGAAATAGAATCAAAAAGAAAATATAGAGTATGTCTATTTTACTTAGTAAGGATGAGTATTTCTTTATAGATACAGTAGGTATCTCTTGCTGGGAATCTTTTTCAGAAAGTTTAAAAGCCCTGATCTACAAGAAGGAAATATAGTGCATAATTATTTTAATATCCTTCTTGTATTCATTAAATATTTAGTAAAATTCACTGAACACTTACCCTGAGCTATTGAGCAAGCCATAGTGCCTTTCCTCAGAGTGTTCGCAAATGAAGTGGAAAAAAGAAGCAGTTAAAAGCATAGATTAAAATAATGTTAAAAGACCAAAAAACAAAAATCAGCACTGTGTACAATGATAAAAGTTATAGAAGACCATGTGCTGGGAATGGTAGGTAAAGTATAAGTGGGTGAAGATGGGCAGGTACAGAACTTTGTATTGCTACACTAAGAGGTTGGGACTTCATAGATCAGGAGTTAGCAAGCTTCTATAGACAGCAAATACTATTTTAAGCTTTGAAGACCATACTGCCTCTGTCACAACAACTCACTAGACTATTGTTATAACAAGAAAGCAGCTATTGACAAAATGTATATAAATAGGCATGATCCAGTTCCAGTGAAACTTTACAGTAGTAGGCAGCAGACTAGATTTGGCCTGCTACCTGGAGTTTCCAGCTCTTAGTAACTCTGGGTCTCAAGCTTTAGGGTTTGTTAGAATTAACTAGAGATTGCTGGGTGCCATCTCAGAGATTTTGATTCAGAAGATGTAGGGTGGATAGGGCTAGGATTGTGGCTCAACAGTAAAGCACTCACCTAGCACATTCGAGGCACTGGGTTCCATCCTCAGCACCACATATATAAATAAATAAAATAAAGGTATTGTGTCCAACTACAACTAAAATTTATATATATATAAAAGATCTAGTGAGAATTTGCATGGCTGACAAGTTCCCAGGAGATGTTGATGCTCCAAGTCCAGGAACCACACTTTGAGAAACACTGCTTTTTAGAAGTTGGATTCTGATTAAGAAAAGCAGGTGGAACAGATTGGAACGCTATCATGGGATCCATGTTGAGATCAAGTGTGAGTGTGGATGCAAAGGTAATAGGAAGTGACACTTTTCAACCAGTTAACACTCCAAGCGGTTTTAACATCCTTGATAACAATTGTCTTAATAGCCCTACAAAGTGGATACTATCTCTATTTTCATTTTATAGATGACACAGAGGTAGGTAACTTCCTCAAAAGTCATCAGGCTTCTAAATGGAGGAGCCAGAATTCAAACCCAAGCATTGAGATTCTTAAGACCATGATCTTAACTCACTGCCTGGGGCAGTGAGTTTGAGAAGATGGATCACAGATGTACCTCAAATGTGAACTCAGTTTAGCAACAGATTTAGATTGAAGGAAAACAGATATAAGAATTCCCGGATCTCTGATTTGAACATTTCAGTGGATAATACACAGTGCAACAAAACAGAACTATATGAAGAACAGTTCTGAAGAGGAATATTAAAATTTGAGGTAGAGCTAGGGAAACACTACAGGCAGTTATTTCGTTGAGATTTAAGAACTATTAATATACAGGTGGTAGTTAAAGGCTTAGGTTCAGGGAAGTGATAGAAAGCTAATAGCCCTATGGGGAAGGTACTAGATTGTCTCCCTTTTACAGATTAAATAAAACTTTTTCAAAGTCACGAAGCTAGTAAATAGCCAAGATTTGGACTCATCCAAGACTTGCTCCTAACTGTTATTCTTTGATATAAATGATGAACATGAAAGTGCCAACTTAGTACAATACRCAAAAACTCCCTTTTTAAATAGTAGTTTCCCTTTTGTGACACCAATTTAGAATGTATTGATAATATGTTACTAAAGAAATGAAAAGTGGATAAATTTGTTTTTTTAATTGCTTTACATGAATTTTTAAATTTCTTTCTTAGCTCAATGTCAATTGCTGCAAGCTTAGTGAGTGAAGATACAAAGACGAAGTTTTTAAACAAAATGGGTCAGTTGACAACATCAGGTGCCATGCTGGCCAATGTGTTTCAGAGAAAGAAGTAGAAGGAAGAAGGAAACCCCCAATAAACACTAAGATGGACCTCAAACAGACTGGCTCCTTGTACTTGAAGTACTTGCCTTTTTTTATTTCCTCAGTTTTGTGTTCTTACGTTATATTTTTATCCTAACCTCCAAAAATATTTGCACTGCTTTTGAGTATTGCTGTATGTCTTCTGTTGATTTGGGAATTACAACTGTGGTAATAGAAAATTGATTGGTTGGTCTGTACCAAGTCCCTCTTCTATGTTCTTATCTTTGAGAATAATTTTATATATATATATATATATATATGTATATATATAGTGAAGAGGTTTTTGTTTTGTTTTTGTTTTTTATTTTTGGATGGGATATTAGCAAATATCTGTATTATACTCTAAGCTATTACAATGGTACTTAAAATAATGTAAATTTGAAGTCATTGTTATAAAGTAATAAAAGTGGAGATTACTTAAGTATTTAAATTATGAAAGAATAATGAAGACTTTTTATTGTTTCCTAACTGACTAGAAAGAGCCACCAGCATTACTCTGTGCCTTTTGGACTTCAGTTTGTGTGTTCTGTAGGAATTATGTGCATTCCATTCACACAGTATTTCTTTAGGCTGCTGTGATGAATTTGAATTACAAATCCTACAGCAAATAGATAATGACGAAACTTTCAACATTTCAGAGCTCTCATGAATATTCCTTAAGTAACTATTTAAACCTCCCCAGCACTTACATGCATGTAATGGACTCACCTGAGAAAAGACAGCACATAAGCATGGGGAGTAATGACCAAGGTAAACTTTGCAAAGAGTGTAGTAGACTTTAATGCTCAGAAAAAAATGTAACTGAGAAGAGCTAATACTTGTGAATTTTTTCCCAAATCAAAATACAAAAAAAAAATATATATGGTTYGGATCTGAAATTTAATATCTTATTTATGTAAAACATTTTCTTGAAGATATTTTCTGATGATTTTAATTCCATAGGTCACCTTTTCATTCTGTGTGTTACAGAGAAGTATTGAAAAGTTAAGGACATTTAGGAAGTGCTTTTTTCCCTCTAAACTAAAAGTGACGTTGGATAAATTATTATTGGTTAGTTACCACCTTAAAGTCTATTCTTAAAGTGACTATTCTTGTGTTTGGTGTATTTAAGTTAATATATAGTTCCACTGGGATTTGACTGTTGTCTCTACAGTAATAGAACTTGAAGTAGAAAAGGATGCTGGACACAGAAAAAGGGTGATTGGTTTGAGGGGTTAATGTGAGGCTTTTTTGAAAAATGAATATTTTGATAAAAGAAAATCATCATTTGAGCAYGGTTGATACTCATAGGTGATTCTCATATTTGTTGTATAAACTGGTTTAATATTCTTGGAACATAGTTGGACTATATTCACTTCCTGGGAAAGCTAGCTTACCATACATTCAAACTTACAAAATAAGTTGCAATAGGCAAAGCCATTTAAAAATTTCATTCTAAAATTATTTCTTTTACCTACAGTGAAATAATTGTTGACAAACTAGTTCTTCTGAAAACTGTTGGATTCTAGGCATTCCTGAGAAATTGAAAGTGGCTACCTTTCATGTCAAAAATGTTGATCTATTATAAATAAAATGTTTTGCATACTTGTTTTGTTTGGGGCTATATGTGTTGTTTTCATTTGGAAACTATGTCCAGTCAAAAAAAAAGAGAGCATATATTCATAAAAATGTACTTATATTTTAGAAATTTAATCTATATAAGTTACTAATATGTTTCAGGGATGACTCAAAAGAAAAATATTTAAATTCTCCCTTGCTTTGAACTATAATAGAATACATCTATGTTACTAAACAAATAGATATACTGTTCCTCCATATCCATTGAAATTGATTCCAATCTTTTACAGGTACCAGAGTCCACAGATGTTTCAACCTTTATAAAATGGTGTATTATTTGTATATGACCCAAGCATATTCCCATRTACTTTAAATTATCTTTAGATTACTGACAGTATCTAATACAATATAAGTGCTATGCAAATAATTGTTTTACTGTATTGTTTAAGAAATATTAACAAGAAAAGAAAGCCTGGAGATATTTGAAATAGAAGCAGTTTTTTCTTTCTGGAATATTTTTAATCCATGGTTATGAAATACGTGAATGGAGAGAGCTGCCTGTAATGCATTTCTGTTGTGATAATTTTTATTAATTAATGAATTCATGTACCTAAATGCTATCAGCAAAAGCAGTCAAGCCATCCAATATATCTCAAGTGAGTCTTCCTTAATTCGCTTTCATATATCTTAATATCATTAAGATTTCACATGTTTTGGGGGGGGTGGTTGTTGTTTTGGTAAAATATGGATTTTTTACAGATAGACGCTAATTATTGATTCTAAGTATGTTCTTCTAAAGCAGGGAATAAAATACTGATACTATTTCTTTTTAGACAGAAATTTAGGGTTTAAGTATTCGACTTAATAAAAAGCTAATTCAAAATTATTTCTATATTTCTAAAACAATCCAAAGATTGTTTTTTTTTTCAGAAATTTGAAAGTGCCATAGTTAATAATTTAGCTGAATTCTTTCAGGTACATACTTGAATGGTAGCCGTATATATCTGCATACACAGGAGTTCTTGACATTCATTTCCATCAAGCACCCCTCTTGAAAGATTACTAAACATCAAATTGACTTCCAACCTGAATGAAATTGTTGTTGTTTTTTTTATTGGTTGTTCAAAACATTACAAAGATTGCAGAATCACATCGGTTACACATCCACATTTTTACATAATGCCATATTAGTAACTGTTGTATTCTGCTACCTTTCCTATCCTCTACTATCCCCCCTCCCCTC